AATGAAGGAAAAGTTTTTACTTATATTGTTGATTCTTTCTCTTTATGGCATGATAGATTAGCACACTTGAATTTTAAATCCATAAAGAACATGAGCAAACTATGTATAATTGCTTACAGTAATGAATCAACTGAAAAATGTGAAATATGTGTAAAATCTAAAATGGCTAAGAAACCTTTTCCTAATGTCGAGAGAAATTCTCAACTTCTAGAACTAATCCATTCTGACATCTATGAACTCAATGGTATATTAACTAGAGGAGGCAAGAGATACTTCATAACATTTATAGATGACTTTTCTAGGTACACHTATGTCTRCCTTATGAGAACTAAGGAWRAAGCCTTTGACATGTTTAAACTATATAAGACTGAAGTTGAAAATCAACTAGAAAAGAAAATTAAAATCCTTAGAAGTGATAGGGGTGCTGAATACTTTAAAAATGAGTTTACTTCTTTCTGTGAAGAATTTGGAATAATACATCAGTGTTCTGCTCCTTATACCCTTCAACAGAATGGCCTGACTGAAAGGAAAAATAGAACACTTACAGAAATGATAAACTGCATTTTGTTAAAAGCTAATGCACCCTTAAACCCGTGGGGGGAAGCACTCCTAACAGCCATTTACATAACATAATTGTTTCTAGAGTTAATAACAAATACCCATATGAATTATGGACAGGAAGAAAGCCTAATTTAGCATATCTAAAAGTGCGGGGGTGCTTAGCATATTATAGAGTACCAGATCCTAAAAGAACCAAATTAGGACTTAGAGCTAAGAAAAGTATGTTTGTTGGATATGCAGAACATAGCAAGGCCTATAGGCTTCTAGACTTAGAGTCCAACATAATAATTGAAACTAGAGATGTTGAATTCTTTGAAAATAAACTGTGTTCTGAACCTACAGAAAATGAATCAACAGAAAATGACAGAGAAACTCAGATCTCAATACCTGTTGATAATAATGAGACTGAAAAAAGAAATGACAACTATAACACCTACAATAGAACTTAGAAGAAGTCAAAGACAAAGAACAGAGAAACACTTAGGTTCAGATTTTATCTCTACTCAGTCAATTGTATTTTTGGTTGAGGCTGATMRARAGAAGATTTTAAATAAGATACCTATTGTCCTAAACATTGAAAATGATTCAAAAACCTATAGTGAGGCCATGACCTCTATAGATGTTGTCTTTTGGAAGGAAGCTATAAATGATAAAATGGATTCAATAATATCAAATAACACATGGGTACTAGTAGATCTGCCTCCATGATCAAAACCAATAAAATGTAAATGGGTGTTTAGAAGAAAATACAATACTGATGGAACTGTACAAACTTTTAAGGCTAGATTGGTAGCCAAAGGATTTAGTTAAAAGGAAGGGATTGATTATTTTGACACCTATGCACCAGTGGCTAGAACAACTTCTATTAGAACACTCATAGCATTAGCATCCATTTATCACTTATCTGTTCACCAAATGGATGTTAAAACCGCTTTCTTAAATGGTGATTTAAATGAAGAGGTTTATATGGAACAACCARAAGGATTTGTTYYTCYTRGAAAYRAGAAGAAAGTCTGTAAAYTRGTTAAATCACTATATGGATTAAAACAAGCACCTAAACAGTGGCATGAGAAATTTGATTCTTGCATCCTAGCTTTTGGYTTTAAACATAATAGTGCTGATAGATGTATCTACTCAAAATTCACTGAAAATTATAGAGTAATTGTATGTCTTTATGTTTATGATATGCTTATTGTGGGTACAAATATGGTTGGCATAAATGAAACTAAAAACTATTTATCTTCTGTCTTCAAGATGAAAGATTTAGGAGAAGTAGATACCATCTTGGGAATAAAAGTTAAAAAACATGGTAGGGGCTATGCATTAAGCCAATCACATTATATTGAGAAAGTACTTGAGAAATTTAAGCATTTAGGGTTTAAAGAATATAGCACACCATATGATTCTAGTATAAAGCTAGTAGAAAATACTGGTAGAGCAATTGCACAAATTGAGTATGCTAGTGCAGTAGAAAGCTTGATGTATTATATGCTTTGTACTAGACCTGATATTGCATTTGCAGTAAGTAAACTCAGTCGGTTTACAAGTAATCCCAGTGCAGAGCACTGGAAGGCAATTGGGAGAGTTCTTGGGTATCTCAAGAGAACCTTGGAACTTGGCTTGTTTTACTGTGATTATCCAGCTGTACTAAAAGAGTACACTGATGCAAGTTGGATTACCGGTAATGGAGATAACAAGTCCACATCTGAATGGATTTTCGTCCTTGGTGGGGGTGCAATCTCTTAGGCATCCAAAAGACAAACTTGTATATCTCACTCGACCATGGAATCCGAATTCATAGCCTTAGCGGCTGCTGGAAAAGAGGCTGAATGGATTAGGAATTTATTATTGAATATAAAACTTTGGCCTAGTCCTATGCCTCCAATTTCCATTTACTATGATAGTGAGGCAACTCTGTCAAGCGCCTACAGTGGTACCTACAATGGTAAGTCTATACATATAAGTCTGAGACATGAATTTGCTAGACAAGTGATTCAAGATGGAGTCATCACTATAACCTATGTGAGGTCAAGTAAAAACTTGGTTGATCCTCTTACCAAGGGCTTGGCCAGAGAATTGGTAAGAATGACAATCAAAGAGATGRGATTAAAACCCTTTACTTAGTCACCTGTAATGGTAACCCAACCTGAACTGAAAACCATCAGTATTGGGTCTAATGGGTAACAACAAATTACAGCAATGTGACTGTTAGCACTGACATTGAGAAATTTCCCATCACAACATAAACAGTGTTGTCCGTTATGATGAGAGGTTGAGATAAACTCTTAATGAAATTCTGAAATGTGTCAAATAATGGAGCACATAGTGGAACTTCACCTATGTGAACATAGAAGTGGTGCCGCTTCTCATGAGGGTTTGGGTTTACTCTCGGGATTGTTCATGAAACCAGGAAAGAAGCACATGGCCATAACAGTGCTGAGCAAAACTTGAAACTCTTGCAGAGACTGGACATTTTTGTGTGTATAGGTGTCTCCGGTCTATCTTGAGAGTAATTGGTTTAAAGTCTTACCACCAATAACTTTGACAAGGCTCTGAGATAACTATACTAACAAGATGTTTAAGTTGATAAACACTTTTTGTATGTATAACTATGTCATATTAGTTTGGATTGAGAGAGAACTATGTAATTGATCAGTCAATGTGGGGGATTGTTGGATTTTAATCTCATAAGAAATTAAATCCAATGGGTTTGATTGGTCAATTACATGAGAAATTGCACCTACACACTTGATTTAAAAATCTGTTTTTCTCTTACAAAAACCCGGTTTTGAACTTGTCTCACATACGCTGGGGTGATACAGATTCAAGGTCGCGTGACTAGTTTGGAAACTGGGTTTCAATTTGTTGTTTTGTCTTAGAATCACTTACCATGTTGAACGACGGACGGAGATGAGAGAGAGTGTTTGTTGCAGAAATTGGATTCTACGATAGCTTGTTATGGGATTGCGTCTTGCAGACAGAATCTGTCACATGACACGCCTTGAATTTTTAAAACGTTGGATTTTGGATGAAGTGTCCACAGTGAAAAGGCGGGAGTACCACCTTCGTGGAAGGAGGAAAAGTAAACTCGCGTAAGCCGTTCTAATGTTATGGTACAGTTGTTGTAAGTTCTAACTCGGCGACTCGTTGTTCCTGTTGGAAGTCTTCACCCTCGGAATGTTGGATTGGTCCAAAGTCAAAAACATGAAAACAGCCCCAAAGTCCTAACATCATCAAGACATCAAGCGCGAGGAGTTCCAGGACAGTTATAAGAGTCGTTGCAACGAAAATTTAAAATTCCCGAGAGAAAGGCCGAACGAAGACCCACGACAATATGGAAGATACCTTTTTCCTGTGGGAGATGCAACCTGATGAATTTGAAGTTCCTGTACTAAACCAAAGCGATTTCACTGAATACAGGAGACCCACCCAGGAATTCCACCCCAACAATCATTCCATCTCTCTGTCTAATCCTTCCAACATGAACAAGAGAATGATAGAGTTCTTGAGAGTGATCTCAACTGGACGGAGCGAGAACAGAGAATCTAAGAACGATCGTTGTTACCGCCACATGATCAATGAGCGTGCGAGGAGAGATAAGCAGAGGCAGAATTTTGAAGCTCTTCGTTCCATGTTGCCCACTAAAATCAAGGTATGCTTGATAATAATCGATCGCGAATTCAATCTTGGGAACATGGATTCTGTTGCATTCTGTAATGGGTTTCTTTTGAATATGAACTCTTGAACCTTTTGTATTCTCCTTTTTTCAGAATGAAAAAATTTCCATTGTTCAAGCGGCAACTTCGTATTTGCAAGATCTGGAGAAACTCAAGGTGGGGTTACAGAAGCGTAACAGTGAGCTTGAGGAGAGATTAACAGCGAAGGAATGTCAAAGTCTAGACACCACTAAAAAGATCAGATTACGGGTTTGTTGTCCATCTTCTGCAATCAATTCAATGCTTGGGGTACTTAGATGCTTGAAGAGCATGGACATGGAAACGAGAACGATCCAGTCACAGTTCTCTGCTCTTGAATTTTCAGCGATATTGGAGATTGAAACCCAGGTGGGTAAACCAAAGTTTAGCTTCAGACCCTGTCAAAAATTCTGCTTCTTGTTTAAATCTACTTTTCTAGTTTTCTTCTGCAGATTTAGGTATACCTTTCAGTCCAGTTATAGCTTCGAAAACATACAGTACATACTTCCTCCTGATAAAGTAATTGTTTTCCTTAGATTCATCCGCATTAATTATTTTCTTCAGAATCAGGAGTCAAAGCTGAACTGTTTGTTTACAAAATTTTGGGAGAAGTATGGATACACACGATGCAGAATTCTGAATTCCAGCCCTCTCCCCCCTATAAACCACATCCTACCCGTGAATTTGGCATCACTTCACGGTCAGGATGCATTCCCTCTCTACTTTGGGGCTATAAAATTTGGGTTTCTGTATTTCCGGGAATTTAGCCCAACTGGCATAAAAAAAAATAGTTTTGAATCAGAAAGAGATAGAGAGCTCTGTTTCCAAAAAAAAACGTGTTAAATGTAATCAACATGCGATATATTTCTTATTGCACTTGTAACTTTTCAGTTTCTGGAATGAAAAATAGGTTAACTTTCAGTCAGTCTTCTTCAACTTCTTTTTGTTTGGAGTCTTTTATCTTATTTTAGTGTTTTTTTCCAACTTGTCTTACTTGGATAGATGGAGGCAGAGACAGTGGAAAAGGCCATACAAAGCTCCCTAATGGAGGCTGAGAGGAACCTGGCGATTGGTTTCCTGGAAGGAGAGGAGGGGAATTACAGCTCTGAGCAGTGGTATTACACCTCATGATTAGAGGCAACTTGCAATTAACTAATAATTGTAGACTCACCAGAGAGCAAGCTACGAGGAAAGCCGGATGGGCTGGTGACGCTGACAAGTCTGACTTATTCATGGCTTTTGAGTAAAGCTCTGGAGTCTTTGTTCTTTCCGCTCCTTTTCTTCCTTATACCACGTGAAGATTGTGTCTGTTACGGAGATTGATAAGTTGGGAGTGTCAAAGTGTGTTGAATTGTAACAATCACGTTTTAAAGGTGTGATTTCTTCTTCTTCTTCTTCATATTTTTGTTTTTTAATATTAAAATAAGAATAAAGAAAGATCAAATTTCATTCACCAGTCTACCAATTACCAAATTGGTCCTGCCAATCAAGTTCTTGGGAGGGATGATGAATTTTCAGTCAATAGACCTGGTTAGAATTTGGACCGATGGTACTGTTGACCCAACTGTGCAATTCCAAAAGTTATCTTAGATTTGGATGTTAGAAATTTTACCTGATGTGGATTTAAAATCGAGTTGGATGTGAATCCCCATTTTTTAAATTTTTTGATCATTTTAACAGCATTAATTCATGTGCCCTACATACAACAGAAACATTGATGAAGGAATGGATGTATGAACTAATGTATCACATAGAAAAAGCCTATGGATGGATGGTAGGGGTGCAATTGGGATGGGCCCGATCTGAGTCTGAGTTGACCTAACCCAAAGTTTTACACGGTCTGAACTGATGTTTTGTATTTGGGTTTAACCCAAGCCTAAAAACCCCAGTTTTTCTTTTTTTTTTTTTTGGATTGGGCCTGAGCCTTGCAATCAAACTTAATCTTAATAGTTAAGAACTTAAAGATAAGCCCAAGGTCAAGCCCAATCTATCTAATTCAGGCTTAGCCTGAACAAAAGTTTGACACAATCTGGATATCCTGTACACGAGAACTCTACCCATGTCTACCCCACAACACACTATCCCTCGTGAATTGGAAACATCTCCCCCTATATAATATTATGTAGGAGGATGAGATGTCCTCCATGTGTGGCTGTGATGTTATGTGGATAGACATGAGCAGAGTTTGTGCTTGTAACCAGGTTTACATTGATCACTCAGGCGGAAAACTTGTAACCAACCGACCAGTATCATAAAAGGATTTTTCAAAACAAAAAAGGTATAGGATTTTTTTTTTAAAAAAGGGGTATCATAAACCCGAGAGGGGGTGGTTAGTCAAAACTCTTCCTGTAACATGTAATATTTGAATGCATGCATACATTCCAATGTAAAGTAGAATTTGAAATTGTGAATTCCGTACTTTTCTCTATGATATGGGAAAGATAAGATATCTGAATAACTTCAGACCAGTCAATTATAATCATAAGCGTGGTTGTCAATCAGGTGTTATTTATTAAAATTCATGGGTGGGTTTTGATCGGTCAAAACTCTTTCCATACCATGTCTTTCCCACATCATAGATTTTACCAAAAAAAAAAGAAGATTTTGTCTTTTCTATCTAAAAAAACAGAGGAATATGCCTTTATTTGAAACAGTTCCCAAATTACTGTTTTACATCTTTGAACATGCATGTATCCTTTGGTTAGCAGGGTGTTTGGAAGCGTGGACGCTTTTTGGGACCGATTTTCAAGAAAAATCGTCCATGCTTCCAAGACTCGTTGTTCACAAAAACAAAAAAAAACACTTCTGTCACATAGGCAGTGAGCAACACTATGCTGTTTGGTAAGGTGATTTTCATCACTATTTTTCATGTATGTACTGACAGGTAAGCACCACATAGGATACGCATCAATCAACGCATTGGTGGGGTCCCGATGCGTTGACGGCTGAACCAAACAATGAGATACATGGATGTTTGTTGAAACACATATGTGATTCCGACGTGGCACCGTTTTTTAAAAAACGGCCACAGCTCCAAACATCCCCTAGGTTCCTACAAAAATCCGTTTGTTGTGAATGATGTATCAAAGCCACTCTCCCCATATCTAGTATTGTTGATATTAGTAGTAGGGTTGGTATTCTTCTCGTTTTCAGTAAAAATTATTGCTCATTTTGATTTTCTTGAATGAATTTCATGATCCTCTTCCTCCTTGCCTTCTCCTTGTTACAAATTGTTGATTAATTTGTATGGCCATTGAGGAGCTTTTATGATTTTTTTATTCCAATAGATTTCTTTCTAATTGTTTGATCATTCACCTATAATCACATTAAGTACAAATTTTAAAAAGTTTTTGGGAGGGGTTTAAAATAGCAATTTATATTGTCTAATCACTCTAGTTTTTTCTTTTTTTTTTTTTTTTGTAAATCTAATCAATCTATACCTATTTAACACATGGTGGTTAGGCAATGTGATTAGTAGTTTTTTTTGGTAAATTGTTGAAACCTCCCCTCAGGTTTAGTAATTGCAATCACCTCTCCAGATTTGTTAAAATCATTTAACAAGAGACATAAAAATATCTAAAATACCCATGCGTTTACTATTAAGGCTGGTTTCTACAATATAAACAATACAAACTTATGAACAACAAGAACAAAAAAAAAAAAAAAAAACGTTTAAGATTGTAATTTTACCTTTGAGTGATTGATATAAAGGACAAATTTGTTTAGAAAAGAGATTGAAAGGACTTGGGGTAGATATGAAGAGAAAATTTGGAAAGTAACATTTTGGTCAGAGTAACATGGATATTTTAGATATTTTTCGTACCTATTGTTAGAGGATTCTAACTGAATGGGTCTACTTGCAACTATGTCAAAAAATTCAGAGGAAGTGATTGCAATTACCAAACTTCAAGAGAAATTTCAACAATGGTCTAAAACTTCAGAGTTTAGAAGAGGTTTTAACAATTTACCCTTTTTATTTTTTAGTTACATTATGAAATAAAACGCATGGTGCAGCAAGTGATTACATCAGAGAACATATTATACGGCCAACCACTTATTTCGAACCTGGCAGTAGACTTAACCGAGAAGGATGGAAGGTGAGATAAAATACTCTTGCAACTATTGATGAGTAGGGGTGAGCATTATTCGGTTAAAACCAAATAACTGAATTGAAAATTTTGGTTTCGGTTTTTTCGGTTTTCGGTTAAATCAGTTCGGTTATTTCAATTTTGAAATTAGAATTTCGGTTAACTGAATTAACCAAACTTATTATTATTATTATTATTATTATTATTATTATATAATATATAATATATAATATATAATATATTATATATTATATATTTATATATTAATATATAATATACTGAAATTCGACTTCATAATATATATTTTATAATATATAATATATATATAATAAAGTATATATTATTAAAATTCGGTTTTAACTGAAAACCGAACCAAAAATTTTGGTTTTGGTTATTTCGGTTTTTCTAAATTTCGATTTTGGTTTTTATTTTTTTTAATACGATTTTTAAAATTTCAGTTTATTGGACTCGATTTTTAACCGAATAAACCGAATAGTCACCCCTATGATGAGCATTAGAATGCTCAAGAGAGGAGTAGATTGATCCTCCAATAAGAATTGGATTACAAATGCAACGTCACGCGTTCAGTTAAAACAGAAAAAGATGTTCAAAAGAGAGCAAACTTAGGACTCTCTAAAAGGGATGAAGCTTCAGTAACCACAGCCGATTGAGCCACAAGGGGGATTGCTGGAGCAAAGACAAGCAAGCCATTCTCACACCACTAGGATTTAGAGAGAGAAGTTGCACCATCAAAATTTATCTTTAGCACATCAGTAGTAGGTTTTTGCCCGTGCCTCGTAAGAGGAAATGCGGCATGGGGATGCAAAGGAGAGAGAGAGAGAGGAAGAGATTTATCAATATCATGCACCCGTATGGGAGTTCAAATCAGCCCCCCACAATGTTCCACAGTACTTTCTCACCGTGTAATGGGAACATCGCCCGATGATAATATCAGGAATAATAATGTCATCATCTAGAGATGTTCCCAATATATGGAGAGAATGTGCTGTGAGACGTTGTGGGGGGCTGATTCGGTCTCCCTGTATGATTGGTGTGCGATAAAGGAACAAACTGTATTTTCCTGCCCACAGTTTTTTACCCACACTCTATCTGCCTTGAATTGTAGTCATACATTGCCATCTTGTATTATGTGAGGATGCAATGTACTGTTACCTCTAGGCTGCAGTTTTGATTTTGAAAGATGATAGCGTTCAGTCCAAGCCATAGATGGGACAAGGTAATAAAGAATTTATTAATGACTAAATTGAAAGCTTGTGTATTATTCAATGTTCAAGTCACTCAACAAGGGTTCACAAAGAGCCGATGATGCAAATCAAACAAGCTTTGCCCTTGAACGAACAGAAGGGGAATAAGTTATCAATTGTCTCTCTCATCAGCAGCAGCTTCACAAACTAGGCAAAGAGGAGAGCATCCTAGTCTTTGGGTTGACTGAGAATGGGCTCCTTCATATATTGGATTGTAAGACCCATTTAAAATAGATCTGGTTTAAGGATAGCCCAAGCCCGTACCAAAACCAAACGGAAACGGCAGCAGGTGCAGGTTTATGTCTTTTTATGGGTCCCACAATGAATGTCGGAATGCTGACATGCAGCTCACATTCTGTAAGCCTGTAAATAAAAGTGTAAAAACACAAAACCTCCCAAGGCGAAAACCCTGTACATTTCATTTCAGACTTATGTGGTAGTTGGTATCACCTGTAAAATATCCCCCTCTTCAATCTTCATCGCTGTTTCTCTCTATATCTCTCTGCATTTATTATCTAGGTCAATGGTTTACATCACTTCGTGGGACGAATTCGTGGAGAGATCCATACAATTGTTTCGAGCGGATCCCCAATCTGTATCCTGTTTTTTTCCCGTTATTCTTGGGTTACTTGTAATGAAGAAGCTATTACTTATGTTTTTCTAGTTTTTTCCTGATCATTGATCTTTGCAAAGGTTTCCTTGATTTTTTTTTTTTGTATGTTAATTTTGGGATCTAGTCGCGGTATGTTATGAAATACAGGCATTGCGATGGGAAATTGGTTCTCAAAGTCACTGATAATCGAGAGGTATGCATTTATTCGTTTTTTCATTTGATATCTGTGCTCATTTGTGGTTAAATTTGTCTGCAAGTTACAAATTCCGCTCTAGAGCATAGTAATGAGTACTCTTTTCACTGTTTGTTTCTGTTCAATGAATGTTATTGCATTTGTTCAAATTATGCTGCGAACTTAATGGGATAATGCATGTTTGATCATGTGATTATTAATGTTATTCCTTTTGTCCGAACGAACGGAAACAACGAACTGACAGACAACAACGCAATTGGTATTCTCTTAAGGTGTAAAGGGTAAAGAACGGTGAGAAACAAAAAACGTTATAAGTAAATTAATAAACAAAAAAGACCAAGTAGTTTGAATCGTTATGTGCTATTGTCCTTGTGAATAGCCAACTTATCTTTGAGATATTTGACGGTGGGCTTCAAAAGAAACCTTGGGATATTGGCTTCGGAAGGGGTTTTAGAGACAATGAAAACAACAAGGTTATTGCCCTTTTGAATGCTCTCGAAGAGGATTTCTTCTTGCCATAAGGTAAAATCAAAGAATTTAGGCTCTGGACCCTTTAGGTCACTTATCTTTTGCTTCTTTCTTCTATTACTTAGATGTCTCAACTTTTTTTTTTGTTTTTTGTTTTTTCGGCCAAAGCCCTTTGGACTTGATCTTTCTCCTCCAAAAATTAATACTTCTGAGATACCTCAGCAAAGAAGGAAACCTTGGTGAATTTTACCTCATCTTAAATGCCTTTGCTGTAAAGATTTGGAATAATTTCTGTACTCTCTTTGGTTCATATAGGAAATTGCCCATTGAAGTAACAAAATTTTGTGGTGCTTGACTACTATAGAGTGCAGACTGAGTGGGGGAAGTTCTTATTTCCTTTTGTGGTGCATGCAGTGCTTAGATTTGTGTTTAAAGACGCCAAAAAGTTGAATGCTAAAAAGTTATGTTTGGAAGAGGTAGAGTAACTTTTTTTTTTTAAAGAAGAATCCAAGTGGCAGTCTTTTTGGTGGCTCCTTAAATGATTATTCAGCTTGTTTGTTGCCTAGGTAATTGCTTAGGTGCCTGCCCAGGTATAACTATGTTTTAACTTGTTCTTGTGATGAGAACCCTAGCTCATTTGATGTACGAAATACTTGTTCTTGACATAGGACATCTCAAAGTCTGACACATGTGCATTATACTTTTAGGCGTGAGCTTCAAGGTTGAGCTTCATGGCATTTGGTCTGCTGCATGAAAGCTATCCATTCCATGCACTTGATTATAGAATCCAATTGCAGACAAGTTGTTTCTCATAAAAGGATTTTACACAATGATAATATGGAATCCAACTTCTAGGAGGCTCTTAAATGGACTGAGAAATTGATGAATGTACAAGATAGCTACTATCTTGGAGGATGGGGTCATATCCTGAAGTGGTGGATCAAAGAGTTTGGTTGATGATCAGTATGGGAAATTTTCAGTGCAATCATTCTACAACAAACTTGTTAGAGGAATGGCTGAATCAATTTGAGGTTGGTCCAAATTTCGGGAAAATCGTGGTCAGTGGTGTTGTAGAAGATACTAACCCAAGACCAACATAAATACCAAATATCAGCATTTCTTGCAAATGTTTGGTGCTCAAAAACACAAAGAAAACAGTTGACCACCTTTTTCGTATGTGGAAGTAGGAAGTCAGATTTGGGGTTCTTTACTATATATTGACTGGTGTGTTCCCAACTGAGTCCCATTCCTTCTCCAGTGATGGCTAGCAATATCATTTGGAACTAGGAGCTATCTTATGGAAGATGATCACCCCTCCTGCAGTAAAATGGGGCTTGTGGAAGCAAAGAAATCAAGATTTTTTAAAAGGGTATCATGGTTACTGCACAGAATATGTAAGGATGTCAGCTTTTTTTTATCACTATGATGTGGACGCCGGCAGCAGCAATTTAGTGCAGCAGCAGCAGTGATCCGGTGTTCTCATCCTATCCAATGCGGCAGCAACAGTTCTTATCCATTCGACAGATTAGATTAGATTATCTTGTTATTCTTATCTTATCTTATTAGATTAGTAGATTAGATTATCTTATCTTAATAGATTAGGATTAAGAAGAGACTTATCTTATCTTATCAAGATAGAGTAGTTATCAAGATAGAGTAGAAGGGGGGATCTCCCTAATCAGCAAGGAGTCTCCCTAAGATTAGGACTCTTGTAATCTCCTATTTAAGGAGACCCCATTATTAAATGAGATATCGAATATTCAGTTAAAGAAGTGAGTTAGGAGAGTTGGTGATCTCTTGAACAAATCACCAAGGCGCCAAGATAGGTTCATCAAGAGCAGGAAGGAACAAGGGAAAACAGGAGGTTTTCCCCGTGGACCGACCCGTGATGAGATCCTATTCCCGGGCCCATAACAACTTGGTATCAGAGCCAACCGTCATGGGAGATCTGGAGCAACTATCATCCAGGGTCCACGAGCTGGAGCATAGGCTCATGGAAACCAGCGTGGAGGTTCGTGAGGTCAAAGACGATGTCCGGGAGCTGCAACGCTTGCTGGAATCGTATTTCTCTAACAAGGAGAGGAATCTAGAAGGGGCTGTAACCACATACAGCCGCCGACCAGACTTGACGAAGTCGTCCGGCGAACAGCAGGTCGTTGCCCTAGCGCAACTTAGCAACACCCAGAATGTTCCGATTAAGTAGGAATCCGGTATCCTCGAGGATTCCATCGACGAGAGCTCAAAGAAGAATAAGAGCAACTACTCCAAGGTCGTCATCGCTGGTGAGGGAGCTTGTATGCCTCATGTTGCGGCTGCAAATGTTGCAAAAGATTGTTTGTTAGTTGCAGTCAGATCAGATCCTAGGGCTGCACATATCTGGGCGAATCTTGCTAATACATACTATTTGGCTGGTGTTCATAGGAGTGTTGGAAAGTGCCTGGAGAAGGCAGCAAAACTGGAGCCTAATTGCATATCAAATCGAACAACTTTCATGGGTTGCGAATGAAATGGCTTCAATACTCAGAGAAGAGGACTCTGCAACAATTGAGCTTCGGATAGCATGGGTAGGACTTGCCATGGTTCACAAGGCTCAACATGAAATTGCAGCAACGTTTGACTGTGTTTCAAGACACCCATCCTGAATTCGAGCTTGAGGATAAGCTCGTAGTCCAGGAGGAGAGTAATGATGTGGACGCCGGCAGCAGCAATTTAGTGCAGCAGCATCAGTGATCCGGTGTTCTCATCCTATCCAATGCGGCAGCAACAGTTCTTATCCATTCGACAGATTAGATTAGATTATCTTGTTATTCTTATCTTATCTTATTAGATTAGTAGATTAGATTATCTTATCTTAATAGATTATGATTAAGAAGAGACTTATCTTATCTTATCAGTCTTATCTTATTAAGATAGAGTAGAAGGGGGGGTCTCCCTAATCAGAAAGGAGTCTCCCTAAGATTAGGACTCTTGTAATCTCCTATTTAAGGAGACACCCTTATTGAATGAAGATATCGAATATTCAGTTAAAGAAGTGAGTTAGGAGAGTTGGTGTTCTCTTGAACAAATCACCAAGGCGCCAAGATAGGTTCATCAAGAACAGGAAGGAACAAGGGAAAACAAGAGGTTTTCCCCGTGGACCGACCCGTGACGAGATCCTATTCCCGGGCCCATAACACAGGGTTCAGATTTCAGATTGGTTTTTGCACTGATATCATAGAGTTTGTTGTAAATCAGTTTATTCTGGAGGCACCATTCCTCCTATTTTTTTAAATGATCATACATATTTACCATCAAGAAGATAAAGTTTGGTATCAATCAAGATAAAACATTCGGTCATTCTCATCCAGTGCCTTTTTTTTATACTGGTTGTGGTGGCCTCCAGTCTCCACCTCAGCCGGACAACAAAAGCTGTATTCTCAAGGATAAAACATTTGATGGGAACTTCTCAATTAGGGGGATTGATAGAATAATCTGGCTTCACACTAAATATTGTAGGCCCATGTACATAGACCGCTATATGGGAATCTTATATCTTGTTTATAGAAGGAATAATTCTGATAGTGGAGCCTCCATTCATCCTATCAACCTCTGATAGCATCATTCAAAGAGTTTTGGCTTAAGGAGGCCATACTCCATTTTCCACCATAGGAGGATTCTGCCACAACCCTTTTCTTTAGTAATTTTCACATTTTTTCAGGTTGCTTCAGTAAATTCGTATGCATAAGTTAGGGATATTTTATTTGGTTGCAGTGGTGATTATATGCACATTTCAAGTTAATGTAATCATTGAAACTTCTTGTACTGTGTCATAACCAAATTTTCTTTTCAATTTTCATAGTTTGATGGAGGAAGCCTTTCCCTCCATATTAATAAAAGATCATATCTTATCAAAAAGAAAAAAAAAAAAAAGATCATAGTTTTGTGTACTGTAGTTAGGAAGTTACAACAATCTAGTTTACTTAGGCTGTGGCTTATGCAAGTTACAACATTTCAAGTGCTGACACATGGTACAATGGCCACCCTATTAGGCTATTACCATTAACAAACTCGGTATGAGATCTCTATTATTTGCCCCCCAAAAGAGAGTTATTAATGCCATGATATGTCCAAGGATTTCTCTCAGTAATCCAGCTAATCATACCTTCTTTGGTCCCCAATAAGCTTTTGATCTCATTTTCAGAATAGTCCCAAAGAGGGTCATTGGAAGTAGTTCATTTCCTTTTGGTAGGATTTATAACTTTTAGAATATAACAAGTAGAATATTAACTTGCCCTAGGCTTACTTTTAATAGATTCTTGAGTCTCTAGATAATATGTTTTGCTGATTCATTAGACTTTGTGTTTTTGCAGTGTAACTTTTTTAACGTGGATTTTTTTTTACACAAGGATAATTTGTGTTCAATTTCTTGCATAGACCTCCTCACAACACAAAAGTCAGTTACTATTGGGACCTAAACTGCAACCTTTTGATATTGGCACTAGATTTTTCAACCTTGATGCTTGACTGAATGGGATCTAGGTTCAATGCCACATAGGAGAAACTAAAGATGGGTGGCCTTAAATGAGATTACAGGAAAATAAGTTTATAGAGTGTACTGTATTAGATACTATTAGGATTAAGTGATCAAGTGACTGGATGTAAGGACAACAGTTCCTACTGAATCCCATAGATGTAGTAGGGAGCATATAGAAACTTGAGGGCCATTGAAGTTTTGCTACTTGGAGATCCATTTGGCAGCTTTCTTTTTGCCATATTTGACAAAAAAGTTGATTGATTCCAAGATTAAGTGAGGAAACTGCCAAATGTTGACAAGAAGGATTTAGCTATTGCATTTTAGCTCTGAAATCATTCTCATTGCAATGGTCTTTGCCCATATGGACTGCCAAATGTTGACAACAAATTCTTTTTGCAAATTGTTATACGCTTCTCTTAATCTTGGAGCCCATATTACATTTTCCACTACCCAACCACAGAAGGTTCTGATGAGCACTTCCTTATTTATTTGCCAGATGAAACAAATCAATGCAGGAGAGTCTAAGATATTTCTGAACATACCATACATCATATTCACCTTTAATCACTATCAAGTTTCATAGCTGATCACTGTCTTCTTAGATTCCTAACAAGTAACAAGCCTGATTGGATCAGTATTTTCCTTCATTTCTAGTGGCTTTGCTTCCAAACTCTTTGGGAAGGGGGAATTTTCCCCACTTAAATTTAATAAAAATGCATGTTTACTTTTGCTCATAAAAACAGAAAAAAGAAATACTTCAATAAATCTCCTCCATAAGCTTCCAACCTCCTTCGTAAAACCACCAAATCCATTTACTAAGGAAGGTATGGTAAAAAGATTCCTCCTTTTGGGTTACAAACCACATACCCTTTAATCAAATGATTTTTTTTCCTGGGGTTATCTAACTTTTTTTTTTTTTTAATTTGTTCAGGGTTTTATCCTCCCTGAAGTCAGATTTCAACTAACTAAACTTGTTTGGCTCTAGCATGGATTTGCAAACAAATATGCTCTCAACTGTATCCATCCAATCAAAGAGTTCTTCTAGACCTTGGGTTATCTAGAACTCTGGGACTTAAAGCCTAATGCTATACTCTTGCTAATGGACTGAATGATAGTCACATGTTTTTGAAAATAGTCAATCTAGCATGTACTAGTGTTATCCTTGAAGTCAGATTTCAACTAACTTGTTTGGCTCTAGCATGGATTTGTAAACAAATATGCTCTCAACTGTATCCATCCAGTCGAATAAATCTTCTGGACCTTGGATATCTAGAACTCTGGGACTTTAAGCCTAATGCTATTCTCTTGTTCCTGATCCACACGGTTCGTGTGGCAGATAATGGCCAGTTACATACAGATGAGGAGTGCATGAGCCAACCGGTCTTTTTTTTTTCTTATTTTGATCGGTAGCTGTTATGCTTTATTAATTCATAAAAAAGAAAGATATATTTACATATCTAAGCAGACAATGATATATTTACATATGCTAGTCATCCTACAGTATGGGCTGTACAAACTCCGCTTATCCCACTTTAACTATATGCATTATACTTGGGCGAACTGATCATTTACCCAATGACTTATCACTTGACATGTAGCAAATGATTGATTAGGACTTTAATTTTTTCTAATGTTACAACCTACAAGATTCAGCCAGTTTCTCCTAGGATAGTGGGTCAGGTAGACTGACTATCTGGGCTGAAAGCCAGCACAGCTGAGTTGGAGAAGTTAAAAAAGGCTATAAATTTGAAAGAAAACTATAGGTATAAATGTGTTTTCACAAAATATCTATCGTTAAGAGAGGCTAAAAGCTATAGTTTTCACACACACAAACAAAACCCAGCCCCGGTTATGTTGTCAGCCAGATGGCTACTGAACTGTACAGATGGCTAGGGGGGGTGCAAGTCAGTTACCCAATTTGAAGAATTTACATTGCATCAGGGCTGGATACATTCAAATTTTAACAAATTCTACCCATCCTGCCACCCAAGTTGCAACCCAAGATGGATGGGCCAGGCTGTGTCATGCAACATTGTTTTTTTCTATGGTGGTACTTGGTGGTGAATGTAGCTCTGGTTCAAGACGTGTCACAAACCATTTATCAAATGATGCATGAGGATCTGGTAAACATTTCATAATAGTAGTCCATGAAATCAAGAATTGAATAAAGGATAAAACTAGACTAATGGAGCACTTTTAGGCATCATACCAAGAAACAGTTTTTTTTTTCTTTAATTGATAACAAAAAATTGAATATTTTCTAGGCATTCTACCTGGAAGAATGGCAGTACACCTCTAGATGGTCTAGCATCAACTGTTAACAAGAAAGAAGCCAGAGCCAAAATTTTATTCCAAATCCATTAATCTTCCTTGATAGTAATATTATGGATCTTTTAAAGAATTATCGGTAACCCACCTCCTTATTTATCACAAAGAGAAAAAGGAAATTATGGTATTGTATAGACTCATAAGGATAGACTTCTTTAATCCATCACAAATTTGACATGAATTTGTAAAATGAGAATGCCCTCTAATATTAATACTTACCAAAATAAATTTCAAGACTATTAGAACTCAAATTTGATAACTCAACACCCAGAAATATGAAATCCTATCACAAAGGCTGTTCATTAATTGGCAGTTACTGACTTGATTAAATTCAAAATCAATTGATTGTAATTTGTAGCTTCTCAGCTAGTACTTGACTACTCTCTGTAAACTTATAAAAAAATTGAATACTCCTTCTAATGATGCCAAACCAGAGATTAATATACAAGTTTTGACTCCTGAGAATATTTACTAGGTTAGTTATATCTTGAGATGGTTTTTTCTCTGGTTTTGAGTTGGACTCTACTTAATTTACCAACATTCACAATTATTAGCTTATTCATAACATGGTATTAGATTTCTGTATTATGAATACTAGTTTCATCTCATCCCACATTATAAAGTGTTCAACTCTGAATTTGGAATCAATTTTGAAGGTTAGGGTTTAGGTCCCCTTAGTATTTTCAACCCATTGTCAAACTGGTTGACCCGTCAGAATTCCCAGTCTGTTTCACTACCAAACCACTTGCCTGCAAAAAAAAAAAAATCTTATTTATCACACTTTTTGTTTAATATGATGAATATATATATTAGAGATATGCCCATTTTTTCTAAAAGATTTCTGTGTTTTTTTTAATTTTTCATTATATTTATTTGTTATTTAATTATGGCATCATGAGCTGACCCATTTGACCTAGATGGTTGAACTGCTGACCTGCCACTTAGACAGAAAAGCAGTTCTGATTCAGGGCCAGTTTTAAAAACACCGGGTCATGTTTTCTTTGGAGTTTAGTCCCTGTACATAAGCAATATTTATACCCACTCCCTGTACATAAGCAATATTGATACCCATAGAGTACACCTTTTCTATTTTTGTGGAAAATATGCACTTAGTTTTGGCAACTTCTGGAAAAGAAAGGCCCTAGTCCCTTACCTATTTCGTGCATGGTCATAATGCATGGACTCAGGTTTCTGAATTTTACAACAAAAACAAAGTCTATGCATGTTAACTACTACTATGTGTCTCTTTGTGTGTATGTGTGTGTATGTGTTATATTTGTAATTTCTATTATTCTGTGTATTCTCCTTTGTCAGTTCACTATTGTTAAATTTAGAGCATATCCCATGCTCTTTTTCTTCATGGAAAATATGTTAGGGTGGAATTAAACTATTCAATTTTAGAATTACTATAGTTCATCTGCGGCTCATATTGAGCTATCTTACGTCTTACCATATTGGTCATAATTTTCATATAATATAATGTCACATTCAACACTGACAATGATATATTGCTGGATTGCTTGATGAATGCTATGCATCTCTTCAGTGTCTCAAGTTTAAGACAGATCAGGCACAGGATGCTAGGAAGATGGAGAAACTCAATAACATCTTCTTTACCTTGATGACTCGGGGTCCTGATGGTATATTCTTTCTCCATCATATTTGTTTGATTATTTTCAAATTATAGTTATATTTATAAACAACTGAGCCTTTCTTGGGCTTATAGCCAGCCACTCACTGTGCATTATTGTACTCTGTATCAGCATTATTATGACTATGATGGACCTCTAGCATTCTGTATGTTGCTCAGGATTTTGATATTCTGATCTTAGTGGAGCTTTCAGGATTTCATGCTACTGAAGTTCTCTAAAATGATTGTTTCTGCAGTTGATATATCAGAAGTATCAGGAAAAGAGCAATCAGAAGTACAGCCAACAAAGAAAGGAAGGGGTCGGAAACAATAAAATGGAAGAATCTTAGGTTTGGGTACATTGTTGGTGATTGGAGGTCTTTTTGAAGTATACATCCATTGAACTGCTTGATTAATTTGACAAATGTTTTACACAAGGCCATGTTTTCTGGACCCTTTTAAAGGGCTTCCTGGACTACGAAGCAGCATTTTAATGAGAGGATTGTCAACCTAATTATGTCCATCATCCCAACCATAATTTTTTTATGGGTCCTGGATTTTTTTTTTTTTTTGGATAGTTTTGATCATTTCACCATGAGCTGTGGCTGTGGCAGCTGCCTGGTTGAACCGCCAAGTCCACCACTAACCATCTTTCTTAATCGATGTCCGGGTCAGTTTTCAAAACACTCCAGGAGAAACATGCAACATTTTCCAAGCAGGCGCACCAGAAGAAGGCGCAACCTAGCTCGCCGGTAAGGTCTCCGGCTGATTGTTGTGGAGACTTGGGAATTGGGATTGAATCCCACCTTCAGGTCCTTCACCGGAGTTGGGGCCATTGGAGATTTGGGGTTTGAGGGAGGGCTACCCTTGTTCTGTAACCATTTCCATTTTGCATCTTCCACCTTAAAAAACAGAAAAGAAAAGAAGTAAAGGAAATGAGCCAGCTGTGCCGGAGAAAAGTTGTGAATTTAATATAGTAATCAGGGGGAAAACACCGAGTTCTGAAACTTTCATCTCTTTTATGTGGCTCCCGGTGATCCGTACGGTTCTTCTTTTGCAAATTCTTGCTTTTCTGCTTTAGAATGATGAATGCGGAGTCCTTGATGGTAGTAACTGATAAAGCGAACGAGGCATACAAAGCTGTGCCCATTAATGTGGGATCAAATTTATGGGATCATGTCATGAATTATTGGGCTGATGATGCGTGGATTAAAATGGCAAACAGAGGATATGATGTAAATAATTAAGCCTTATCCTTTATGCAATGGATGCCCACGGACTGTGGCTCTAAAGTCCAAATTGCTAGGCGCTATGGGCAAGGACCCCTCCCTAAAGTCAATGAGGGCATGTCAAATCACACGTCTTGGCACCAATTTTCCTTGTTTTTGAGCTTTCTAGCCTCTGGGGAATGTTTAATTACGCGGGATCAGAAATGGAGCTGAATAGATTTCCATCAGGATATGACTTCTGTCTGGTTGATCAATTCACCGGCTGATCCATTTCTCAACGGAATTTTCTGGGCTATGTTCTCTTTGCAGACATAAACGGGGCCCAGATCATCCCAGATCAAGTCTTGGGCCTAGGGCACTTTGTGTGAGGGTTTGTTATGGGGATTCGGGCTCTTGTTACCATAAACTGATAAAAGCAAGATAGATGTTTAACTTTAAAGCTAGAGGCTACGTACAAAGAATTTGCTCGACTGAAATGATTCGTCCTACATACTCCTAGGCAAAAAATACCATCCATATCCAGTACATCAAAATGTGAATAAGTTATGGGCCATACTTTGCTTTTATTACTCAAACACAGAGGTTAGAGAGAATGGTTTTCAGTTTTCTTAGGGAATCTTCGTCCTCCTAATGATGTTTTGCTTTCTCTTAATTCCTAAAACCTATTGCTTTTTCGGTCTTCATAGAATACAGCATCTTTCAGACCCATCTTTTGAGATGGATTGGTTTGGAATATGTTACCTCACCAGAATCCATAATTCATTAACTTTGTCTTGCCTTGATTTAGAGGGACGATTTTTTTTTTCTTTTTTTATGAGGCGAAAGACCAACAGGGGATTGGAACAAGTGGTGGGACTCATTGGATCCTATCAATTGGACTGATGTTGATGTTGATGTTGAGACCCATGAGCTCAGAACCTTGGATATGGATGTTTGTCACTGCTGTTGCCACTGGTTCTATGTCCGGCTTGTGATGATAGTTTTGGCTGCCAGGTCTTAATACTGCCCAGGCCGCAATTATATTGAAGATTGTAGTTCTTCTTGACGGACCAATCATCAGAGGTGCCCCGGAGTATTTGTCATCTGGCCGTTGTCGTTATCATTTCACCTTTGGACCACCACCACCCACCACCCACCACCACCACCCCACCGCCTATTCTGTTAAACCCTAAGATTCTTGGTATTTCAGAGTCGCCTTGTTATACGGCTCATCTAGCAGATGAGTCCATTTAATCTCCTTTTGACGATATTTGACAGGATTCTTGGACTAGACCCCACTTGTACTAAACTGTTTTATGTAGGCTGGCTCACCTCACTGCAGAATTCCAAGTTTTGCCTAGAATTAAGATGCCCTATTCCTTTTTCCAATGCCCCATGTCACCTACTCACTTCCACTACCTCACTGCACCTCTGCTCCCTTATCCACTAATCTACATTGCCTGAAATCAGTACTGTGGGGGGGTGGAAAATTATCTTTAGTAATCCTTCTGTCTGCCTTAGCAAAACCACTCAAAGAGTGGTTCAACCGAGTTGCAAGAACCCTTTTGTTCTCTCCATTTACTTTGCCACTGGTTTCAGGGACATTCTGAGTAATATGCTCATCCTATGAACTATTTGTTTGGAAGCTTTTGAAAAATCGACATTGATATATTAGGGTCCATTTGGTTTATACTTGGAATCAGAATGGGAACCGCAAACCTTTGGAATTGGATAGAAATGATTTATTTCCATAATTCATTTGATTCAGACAGAAATTAAATGGGGGAATACTATTCCACCAGAATGAGAATGGGATTTCATTCCCAAGGGAGGAAGAGGGAATGGTCATGCTTAAATGGGGGAATACTATTCCATCAGAATGAGAATGGGATTCTAATTCTGTCCAATCAAACAGTTAGAATTGGAATGGTCCATCTAATTTCAATTCCAKACCCCTATTCCGATGAATCAAACGGGCCCTTAGTTACTGGTGAAACAGACTAGAAGAAGAAGAATCATCTTCCGATGAGTCCTGTTCTTGGTAAAGCCCTCAGGTCTGTTTGATGGGTTCAAGGTTCAAAGTATCGATACGTATCAGCCTGTATCAGTCAATACATATCGTGTCGATGGCTTCTCGATACGCCCCTCCAGGGGTTGTATTGGGTTAGACACTGGTTCAGATGGTAGCTGGGGCCTTAAACCAACCCCTCTGAATCGGTTTCGAAAAAAAAATAAATAAAACCTAAAAAAATATCAATCGCCAACTGTTAATCTGTTATGAAAATTAGATATAACTTTTTTTTTTTTCTGTTGGCATTGCTTTAAGTGAGCTCCTAGGGACCTCTCAGGGTATATCCAAATGAGAACTAGGATATTAGAACCCATGGTTCATTCTCATCCACAGCAGTTACAATTTGAACCGGTTCCCCTAACCCGGGACAGGTTTCAGAATTCAAAGTTATGACCTGGATCCAAACACCATGAAAGTAGAAAGTAGAAACCCCATGTCACTATTCGTGGATCTGGGTCTTACACATGAGCCATAGAGACAGTGGGCCGTATTGGGCCCACCATTACCGGCAACCTAGACTTTCAACCATTAAATGTTTCTCTGACCTGGAATGATGACGTGGCGGCCCACTTTCTCTATCCCAGAGAGGAGAGAGAGCTTCTCGTTGAAGGAGGGAAGAGGGAAAAAAAGAGAAAAGGACAGGAAGAAACGGACACCCACTCACTCTGTCTCTGTCCTTCCCTATCTTTCTTTGACTTTTTATTCACGCCCTTGTAGCACAATATTCCTTCCTTCTCCTTCTCTCCACTATTTTATTGCAGTTAAAAATTATTTAAAAATGAAAAAAAAAAAGATCCTGCAAGTGCAACATGAGCTTTTTCCAAATTTTTTAAAGGATTTTTCAATTATTTTAATTATTTTTGGGAACCCCATAAAGCCATCGTTCATTCATGTTGATTTGGCAAAGAGTAAAAGCGTCATCATTTGACGCCAATTAACATTTGCAGATAAGAATGAAATCTTTAATGGCAAAACTGCCCTTAAGTCTTATTCAAATTTACTATCTAGAGGGTCCATACGCCATCTTTCCATAATTCCATCTTCACTTGGAATTCAGTTCAGTGGATTTTGTGCCACGTGGCAAAAAAAAATTCAAAATATGTTTCCTTTTTTATTTTGTAATGCTTAATTACTGAAATGAAAAAAAAAATCATACAGAAAAGAAAAACATTTGGGTCCAAGATAAATAAATGAAATGTGTTCAATCCACTGTTAAGGCAAAGCATGCATTTTTTTTAAAAAACAGAATAACTTTGTAAACTCTTGGTTTACTGTAAATTAATTTTCTAAATGTAAATTGGTTGCAAAATCGTCAGCAAAAGGACCACTTGAGCTCTTAAATATTTGTGGATTTAATCTTTTAAGAATAATCTAAGGAATTGGTGCTGATTTGTTGCACCTGATTGGATTCCTGCCTGTAAAATAATTGTCATGACTCATTTGAGATCACAAGTGACTTAGCTAGTTGTTGAATTCTATCCAAACTCTTTGGAAAGTTCTTAATTTGGAAACTATTTTAATGGTTCAATTAGTGTCATGCATGTTTCTTTGCTACCATCAGCGATCACAATGGGTAGGGGTGCAATTTGAACAGGTTTTGGTTTGAACATTTGGTTGAGTTTGGAAAGAGTATAAATGCAAATATTTGTATTTGTACTCCTTCCAAAGTCCAAACTCAGTCATTATAAAAATTTTAAGCAAGGTAATGTATATTATTGGGTACTTGAATTGCACTCTAATAACATTGGATTGGATTAATTGGGTAATTTACTTCACCCTTCTCGAGTTTGGATAGACTCCACAGAGAGAGCATCCCACATACGTCCCATGCCCAATTCATTCTTCTCGTGGTTATGGTTAATCTATAAGTATTTATATGCTTGGTAGTGAAAAAATCATGTATCAATCAACTCAAAGCATTCATAATACTTATTTTTTATTAATTTTCAGTGAATGCCCATTAGACTGCCATTGTTCTACACCTATTGTCATTGTTTAAGCTTCTAATGGCGGCCCGACATGACTCATATATATTATTTACATATAATATAATATATTTTATAAATTATAATTATATAATAATATATAATATATAATATATTAATAAAATAAATAATTCTTTTTTATTTTATTATACTAATTTATTTAATTATTGTATATATAAGCAATTGTATAAATCAAAATTCATATAAAAATAAAATTTTAGGTTTTTTCAAATTTTTAAATAAATATCTTTAGCCTGGTCCATGGCCCGACYTGGTCCAAGGCTTGGGCTGTGGGCCGTGCCGGGCCGACCTCCCAATATACCAGGAGAGGGCAGCACAGCCCAAGATGGCCCACGGGCTGGCATGGCATGACCCACGCTTTGCACGGGCCACCTGGCATGGTACGGCCTGTTTTACATCTTTAGATTAGGGTTTGTTATAGTAAGGCCATGATAAGAATCCATAATTTTTCTCCTTTTATTTTTTAAGTTTTATTTACTTTGTCTTCTATCCATATCCAACTTTTTCTCATATTCTGCCCTATCTATTCCTATTAAGCTCTTGATGACTTCAGATCTCCTTACTACAAGAACTGTATCTATGCCTATCCACAACACACTACCTCTGTATATTGAGAATATCTATCCATGCATTATATTATGTAGAAAGATGAGATGTTCCTCATGTGTGATTGCGATGTTATATGGGTAGACATGRACATAATTCTTTAGAGAGGATATCCGAGCTCTGGCATGGATATGCCTAAGCATCAACCAAGTCATGAGTTGACTCATCTGAATTTATATAGTTTTGTTTAAACTTGGGGACCCACTTTGATGATATGATTGATGAATTGATTAACGATTAAAGAAACATTTGAAATAGTCTTCTGCAATTTGTAGGCTTGCTTGAAATGGTGGGATTCAAGCAACTGAACCAATTGTTGTTGCGTGAAATTGGCAATTCGAAGTTAGAACCCTTACCCAATGTCTAGAAGATGATCATTTCGCTATCTACAGCCAAAACTGGCCAAGCGTAGGCCTAAACGTCATCTTTTTCATGAAATGGTTCTTGGTTATTTTATCAAGCTATTGGGACCCATTTTGGTGTTGTGGGTTAGGCAAACAAACCCCTTTATTAGGGGAATTGGTTCGATTGTCGCAAAAACTAAACCCACATCTAATCCTATAAATTAGGGTTTAGGAGATATTCAGGAATGATCTAATAACAAGGACTACTGAAGTAAGAACAAATAAGTTGTCCTTTTAGCTTGTTTTATACATAAAGACTGTAATGAATTATTAGAACAATTATAGTATATTATGATAAAATCAATGTCAAGAGAATTTGCTGATTGCTGCCCTCCAAGCTAAGAGGACTGGTGCTGACTAGCCAAATTCTTCTTTGTGAGTGTTATTGTTATAAAATAAACTTATATGCATAATATTATTTAGTGTAAAATATTATATATGTAATATTTAATACATATAAAAGTATAGGCCTGGAATGAGGTCCAGACTAATCTGCCTTGACAAGAAATATTCCTAATTATGGGTGTTAAAATACGACGTGCAATCCACTTGAATTAAGTGTCCGTGTTGCTAGCATTATATATGTGCAATCTTTTAAGGATTGACACCAATGTTGTAAGACTCAAATCGGATTAAAAACTGGAATGCTCCATAGGTTTCAGTTTTAACAATCAATTAGGCAATGAACCCCCTATTCAACCCATAAAAACATGTAAAAACCATCATTTAACCAGGGCTTAGAAAGGCAACCGATTGCCTGTTTTATGGTCCAACTGTCCGGTCTGGATCGAGTCTTACAACATTGATCAGTACATCTTAACCAACCACGTGTGATACGCATGTGGGTCTACCTCATTGATTATAATATAGTTGACAAAACAGAAATTAAAAAAAAAAAAAAAGCTTCATTTATAACTTGGATTAAAAGCAATGCTATCAACATGGGTTGAGTATGAGTAGTATGACGTTTGGTGAGTAGAAAAAAAAGAAAGAAGGAAGGAAGAGGGTTCAACGTCATGTCCTTATATTCCAAACAGCTAGTTAGTCCACTCAAGATTATCAATTGGGATGAATTTTGGTTTGGTGAAGTGGGAGGAGATATGCCAGACGAACGCGTGTATGGTGTCATTCTCTCTCTTTCTCTCTGTTCTTTGTTCTGTTCACACAGCGACAATATGGCTTATCCAAGCCCTTCAGGGCTGATGTGTCAACGCCAGTCTTAGACCGTAGGCTAGCCCAGTCGCTATCAGGACAGCAAATTCATTTGGAATTTCCCAACAATTATTATTGTGGGACAAGTGGCTAAGTTCTTCTTAACTTCCATCTTTGTTTCCTAAGAGACACCATCAGAGAGATATATATATAKAGAGAGAGAGAGAGAGAAGTCTAATCTTTTTGACCAATGAGATTCAAATTCAAGTGTTAATGCACTCGATTTAATTCTAGGTATCTCTAATTTGAATCTGATTCGTTTGCAGTCGGACCGGGTTAGGAACAACCCTAGCCCAACTAATGACATGGTTGGGTTGGTCCATTTTTTTTTAGACGTTTTAACTTTCTTAGACTTAGGAACATATATATTTAATGTTACACTAAAAAAACGTTAGCCTAAATTTAATATTGTTGACGTGTACAATCACATACATGTAAGTACCAATATACGTATTGGTTCAGGTTAGGTCGGGTTCCCTTCAATCCTAACCCAACAGATCTTTTTTCGGGTTGGATTTGAGCGAACCCGGCCTAATTTGCATTCTTATATGGGCTTCTTGAAACAAGTTGGTTTTGTTTTAAAAAGAAAATTGATGTTTTTGAAATTATCAAGATGGTTTTTAAAGCAAAATCAAATATGGAAACACAATAATTCAAGAACATGTGCATTTATAACCAAGAACAGAGGTGATCTTCGATATGAATTGTTTTCCTTTTCATTTCCATGAATAAATAAAAAATTATATGGTTTGAAAATAGATTGTTTCTCAAAATAAAAACACAGAAGGTGGAAACATGTTCATCGTTGTATATGTCTTTTGTTTTCATATGTTTCAAGAGTGAAATTTTGGTTTTGTTTTAGAAAACACAACTTTGATGGATTCAAAAACACCAGTTGTTTTTGGAAACAAATCCATCTTGTTTTCACTTCTCAAAACAAAATCAGATTTAGAAGACACGTTTTTATCTGTTTTTTAATGGCATAATAACTTTGAAAACAGATGAAAATAAAAATATTTGCATCATCTCAAAAACCCCATTATTTTTCACATTTTTGTTTTAAGAAACAATTTAATTTCAAACCAGATAGTTTTAATTCGTTTTTAGCAAGGTTTATAAAACCGGATTGGACAGGAAGCCGTTCTGGATCTGGTTCCCAAGTCAAACTATCCGACCGTCTGGTCCGAATGAGACAACCTGTTTTGACAAAAAATAATAAATTAAAAAAAAAAAACAAAAACAAGACCAAAAACCGTTGCTCGAGTCAATAATTCGACCGCTTGGATCTGTGATTTTCTGGCCAAATCAACGGCTTTTGGCTAAAAGAGATTTTGGAGTGAAATGGAACCGATCAAATGACCATTCTCGGTTTTTTCTGATCCAATCATCTGATCCGGTCCAATTTAAAAACACTGGTTTTTATAGCTCACACAAGAAAAAACAATTCACATGGAACAACCCCCCTAATGGCCTAGAATATAACTTGTACTACCAGCTTTGGTTTAGTTGATGGATTGGTGATTTCTTCTCCTTAACAAGGTAACAATATATGGGCTTTATATATATCATTGGGAGATGAGTGAAAGTAGAGTTTGAAAACTTTAACGCTAGAAAAAGAGAAAGAGCTAGGAGTAAAGAGTTCATCATTGCTTTTAGAACTTAAGAATATGACGAATGGTGTAGAGGAATGTTATCACATGAAATTTCAACACTCAATAAAAGTTAAAAGATGAAGATGAACACGCTGGCTGTTGTCATTAGCCTATCTACAGAGTCAGTCTCCATTGAGCATGAATCCTAATAGCCCACATGAGATTGGCAAATTTCCTTGATGCAGATGGCTCAGAGATGGAGCAGTAGTCAAATTATTTATGAGGTTGGAGAAGGAAAGTTTGGCAATGCTTGTTTGAATCCATGGTTTATTTCAAAGGGTAGAAGTCAAATAACAAGGAAAAAAAAAAAAGGAACGAGGACCAAGACCAACTCTGTGATGTGATGGGGATTCAGTGCAGTGGGACCACACATGAGAATGAACTTTTAACCACTGGATGGGTATTATAAGATAGAGGTAGGTCATGATCGGCTGGTAGCAAAAATGTGGGGTATGGATGTTAACTATTAGATTCCAATCTGGTGGCGGAAGAGTGTTAATCAAATAGAAGAGGTAGCGGTCGGGTTGGGGGTTTGGTCCGTTTGGATGTACTCATGTAGAGGTAGGTCATACTCAGGTGTTGCGGAAACTGAACGGATTATGGAAAGAGGGTATTTTGGTAATTTGCTACTATACGAAGTGGAGTAGTGGACTGCAGAAGAGAGAGAGAGAGAGAGAGAGAGGAGAGGGGTCTCTATCAAGTCAACGATTTTGTCAGACTCCAGAGGAAGCGGGGCCCACACACCGTCGGTCACCGCGCGAACAGCGTTTGCTGCCTTGCTGGGCGCGAAATCATCGGGCCACAAAAGCTGCCTAGTCAACAAATCTCGGGTGTGGTTAAAAGAAAAAATCTCGGGACAGGTGTTCAACTGGCTTAACGTGCACGGACGCGTGTCATAACATCACTCGCCCTCATAGGTGCAACGGCTACTTGAGAATTGAGATTACCTGACAGAGTCATTGTGGGCCCCACCATTTGGCGGACATTTTGACGATGACGAGCACTAGAGCAATAAGATAAAAATTAAAAAAAAAAAGAGAGAGAGAAATTGGAGAACAGAAAAGCAGATTTAGAATAATAAAATAATAAAGTTGGGAGAAAAAAAGAATAACGAAGTCTAGTTGGTAGGACCCACCGTCGGATCTGTGCCAGAGGGGGAGAGAGAGAGAGAGACGGCAGTTTCGTTTCTGGGCTTCTCTGGTGTGTTGTGGTGCGTAGGTTATTTAAATGCGCACACTCTCCTCCCTTATTTCTCTCTCTATCTTTTTTTTTTTCCTTCTTTAATTATTGTTTTTAATTAATTGAATATTAGAAGAATGGGAATTTCTTTTCCTTTTCTTGCTCGCTGTGTAAATTCTCTTGGGGGCAAGATCTTCCGTTTCACACCTGCCAATCTCAAAGCCATGGTTGAAGAGTCTAGGGCTTCACAACCTAAAATCCAACCAGGTCTGTTTCTGACTTCTTGTTTCCCTCTGGTTTCTTCGCTGTTGTAGCAAAATATCAAGTTTGGATGTCTAATCTGCATATGGGTTTTCATTTTCTTGCTTAATTTTCCATGTACCCGGTTCCATTTCGCCTCCCTGTGTAACTGTCTTGCAGCCTTCAAATGGAAATTTAATCCTTCCATGAATCGAGATTTTTGAAGGAATTTATGGTTACAACTCACGGCCCACCTGGGTTTTTGTTTTTTCTTAAAATGGGTTTCTGTTTATCTGTCTATCGGAGGTAGGTTATGGAGTTTGTAATGACTTCCCTTCTGGGTTTCTAGGGTTTTAAGCGTTAGGTTTTGGTTTTGGGGGTTGGGGAAGGATGGAGGAGGTTGAGGAAGCCAACAGAACAGCTGTAGAGAGCTGCCATAGGGTCCTGAGTCTTATATCTCAGTCCCAAGATCCGGTTCAGTACAGAAATTTAATGGTGGAAACAGGTGAGGCTGTGTCCAAATTCAAGAGAGTTGTGTCCCTCCTTAGTGCCGGTACTGGTTTGGGTCATGCAAGAGTCAGAAGGCTGAGGAAATGTCAATCCTCTTTCCCCTTGAAGATCTTCTTAGATAACTCAAGTTCTTCAGCAAAGCCTCTGCAACTTCTCCAACCTAGTTTTCTTGAAAGCCCAGTTCAGGAGATGGTTACTGTGGCTTCAGCACCTAAGAATCCCATGCAACTTCCCCCTAGAATATTTATGGAAAATCCAGCACTTGAAACTGGTTCTGCTGCTAAGAATCCTCTCCAGCTTGCCCAACAAACACCACCAACACACTATCAATTCCTCCAACACCAGCAGCAGCAACAACAACAACAGCATCAGCAGCAGCAAAGATTTCAGCTTCAGCAGCAACAGATGAAATTCCAAGCTGATATGATGTATCGTAGGAGCAACAGCGGCATAAATCTTACGTTTGATAACTCTAGTTGTACGCCCACTATGTCCTCAAACAGATCTTTCATCTCATCTCTGAGCATGGATGGCAGTGTAGCCAACTTGGATGGAAAGGCCTTCCATTTGATTGGGGCTCCGCAATCCTCTGATCGCAACTCACAACCGATTACGAAGAGGAGGTGCTCTAGTAGAGATGATGGTAGTGTGAAATGTGGAAGCAGTGGCAGATGCCATTGCTCAAAGAGGAGGTCAGATTTAATCTTGTACCTTGTATTTCCAATTGATTTTTACTTGATCGAGTTTTATTACAAACTGCTGGACATGATTTCAGGAAACATAGGGTGAAGAGATCTATCAAGGTTCCCGCCATTAGTAACAAGCTTGCAGATATCCCTCCTGATGAGTATTCATGGAGGAAGTACGGCCAGAAGCCAATCAAGGGTTCTCCACACCCTAGGTATGTCCGCATTTTCTTTTCCTCCCTGTGAATGACATGGTTAATGATATGAACTCTTGTGTTTGTTGGGATGATTGTGACTTTTCATGTTTGATGAGTTTCCATTTCAAGCTGTAGTTGTCTAGTTGGTTTAGATGGATATGTTGGATCTGGTTTTTAGGTGAAGATGATAGGTATGTCTCATTAAATTTCATGTTCATCATATGTGTGTGTTTTTAGTGTTACCTTTTGATCTTGACAACTCTTTACAGATTTTGATGGAATTACTACCAGAAACAATAGGGAAAAGATGTTCATCTTGAATCTTGATTGAGGGAAAATGCCATGCTATGAAATGAAGAAAATTAGTTCCTATAAGGGCCATTAATAATGTTGGTCCTAGCTATCCAGGGTCTTGGGATGACTGGACTGGATACAAACCTAACCTTCTGTCCACAATCTCATGCTTGTTGGCACAAAGTGGCAAATATTGTCTTTTTGGGAATTGGTTCAGTTGGGTGTTGTTGGATGACAAATTGAATTGCCAGTTCTTACAAACTAGTTTTGCATAAACTAATTCACGGAGGTCCTGATGTAATTCTTAGAGAAGCAGTCAACTATGAGACTGTTCAGTAGTCATGGTGATACTTTTGGAACTGTTTTCTGTTGTCACATAATAATGAAGCCCGATGCATTAACAGTTGCTTTTCTCAAGAAGAAAAGAAAAATGAAACCTGAGGGATTTCAAATCTTGGCGTTGTTGCACATTGTATGTGTTTCAGGTTTGCGGTGGAATCATTCAACTCACATGGGCTGTTTGATCTTATGCAGGGGATATTATAAATGTAGCAGCATGAGAGGTTGCCCGGCAAGGAAGCATGTAGAGAGATGCTTGGAAGATCCTTCAATGCTTATTGTTACTTATGAAGGTGAGCATAACCACTCCAGAGTTCTATCCCAATCTGCTCACACATAGACTTGAAGCAGAGTTTTCTGAAGATCACCATCTCAAGAACCTGCCAATCATATCCATCCAGACCTGGTTTTGTGATTGGTTTTGACTTGCTCCTGTATATAATATGTGTGGTTCAAAATTGAGATTATAGATACTGGAGGCTTTTTGCTGGAATCAAAAGTAAGCTTCCCATGCCTTTTGGACCTCTCTGGGTAAGCAGGTAAAAAATTCTGGACAAAGGGGTTGGAAATTCTGTGAACTTCTTCTGTGACAGCATAAATTCTGTTGAGGGTCTCTAAATCAAATGCAATACCTTTAGAGTGGCGCTCTCAAAAAAAATTTTGAGCATGTATTCATTTTTTTAGCTGTTACAATAGGTCTAGCATGGTAGCTATGTAGTAGTTAAGAATTTTAATCTTTAGATTCTTTACTTTTGAGGAGGGGATCACTCAACCAACACCAATTTGCATCTCATTTAAAGCTTACCATTAGTCAAGAATTAATGCTCGGTCCCATCATCTTTACAAGTTGGTACTGGTGATTCTGAGCTGCTGGCTTGCTGCCACACTTGTGCATTTGGAAGTTGTCTGAGAATCTGAGCAATCAGATAAAAATTATGGGAGCGGTCAATGAATCTCTGTGTATATGTTGGTTGGATCGTGCCGTAGTCTGGCACTCAGTATGCGTACGTTATGGGCGCTGTGCCTGTGTGGCTCATATCATGTCCTTGTTGCCTTTTGATTGAAAGCTTCTGTGTATCTTGGATCATGCACCAACTGCAACTTGTTGACTTAATTGCAGTTCACAGTTGAATGAATCTGTAAGAGACGGGCTGTTTTACTTTGTTCCAAAGTGATGGACCTGAGCCCCTTCGAGTCTTGAGTTCGACTCGTTTAAGCTCTTTTTTCACTGAATGGGCATTTTCAACGTAGTTTCCTTCCAGATCATCCAGGACTTCAAGGTCCAATTATCTAAATCCCAAAAGAGGATGATTATCAGGGTTGCAAATGAATTCATCTTCATCCTATTTGAATTCGAAACCAATCCATTTAATTTGAGCTAGTTTTTGATATCGAGTTAAACCTACACAAATATAAACTCTGATGTATTTACTAATCGGATTGAGTTCAGATTTACCCCAATTTGATCCATTCCATTATGATCTGCTTCAATTGGATTAAATGTATGACGTATTCATTTACCCCGTATCGAAATTTTTTCTTGTGTTTATTACCTAGGCCTAAGTTCAGAAATTTGTGAGTCAAGCTATTGAGTTGGGCTAGGAATGCCATCCCTACTGCTCAAAATCCCTTGAATCAGAATTGGAACTGTCTATTATCTCTCTCATGTTTGTTTCAAATGGGAATTAAATTGGATTCCATAACATATACGTGACTCTCAAGGATATTTTCATTCCAAGTGGGGAGGTTAGAGGGGAATGCCATTCTACCAGAAATGGGAATCATAATCCCACTCTGCCCAACCAAATTTGGAATGGGTCGTCATTTTCGACTTTAATTTGAGACCCCTATTTCCATGAACCAAATGGACCCTTACAGGCAAAAGTGCTCCATATGTATCTTCTACAAGTCGAGGGTTAAAAGAAGAATGTGCATCTATTACTGCGTAAAGAGAACACCCCGTTTCCAAATATGCGTATTGAAAATCTAAGTAAAGTTTGCAATCCACCAATGACCTGCCCACACTTAGACTATTGGTCAAAAGTATATTGACTCTGATGGCCAAACTGGTGAGCTCTTGATGCTGACCCATTGTTATCACGGTTGATGGCTTGATGCCACTATTGCAACTGCAGGATAGTTGCTGTTGCTGTGCCACTACTCTCGGATCCTAGTATGGTCGTTTCAGATGGCATTATGGGTTTAATTGTTGACCCAGATGGTTTAAACATTGACCTGTCAATTGGAGGAAAAATCAACCCCATTTTCACTTCACTTTTTCTTTTTAACATTGACATGAACTAAGTTTCCCATCTTGTTCGTCCATTGTTCAATAAATAACAATAAAACCTCTAGCTGACAAGTATAAGAACGTGTTGAAGTCTGAGAGTGGCCACTTTGTACGTGATAATTTTTTATGATGATAGTAAATGATATGTTTCTAGAATTTTTTATATATTTTTATGTCTATATAAATTATTTTTGTTTTCCACACTTGTTTTTGTTTAATATGATGAAATATATAATATTAGATATGTGCTCAAATATTTTTTTATATTTTTTGTATTTTCTATACCTTTGTGTATTTTCATATTTTTTAATTTTCAAATTTATTATTTAATAAAAAGGTTGAATTGTTGACTTGCCATCAAACAAGAAAACAACTGCATTTTTTGATTGGTTTTAAATTAATATTTTATTTCTGTTATCAATAAAAACAAATATTCTTTGACACACTTATTTTCCTTTGATATGACTAATTAATACATGAGTCTATAAAATAATTGGAGTTAATACTCTAAATAGGAGACTTAATGATAGAGAATTGAATAAGGAGAAATGTAGTAAATTACATTTTGTGACCTCACAATTAGATATGGACCAAATTCATAAATAGAGGCGTTTTAGTCAAAATAGGATTCAATGAATGTTAATGGGAATTAATACCTTAAATATTAAGACTTGATGAAAGGGGTTTGAATGAGGAGAAAAATGGTTGTTCAAATTACATTTAATGTTCTTACCATTAAAGAGGGATCAAATTAAAATATTAGGGTATTTTGCATTCACACTTTACTATAACCATAGCATCACAAAAATTTGTAATAGCTTTGATGTTACTAGAAAATCTATTTATTCTTTTACTTTTCTTTTCATTTTTAATCTTTTTATTTGACATGTAAATACTAAGTGCCCTTCCCATATGTTTTAGGCTTGAAACAAAAGAGGAAAAAAAACAATCAATCTTTTTTCTTTTTTTTTTGTATTCTATAACTCAATTGTCATAAATTTGTAGGTTGTATTTTATCTGATTAATGAATATGCCACAGTGGAAGTATGGAATCAATGGGAACCAGCATTCTTTATGTATATCTTTGGCATCGGTACTGCAGATGCAGCACCACTTTTCTGAGAAAATGGTGTCTTTTTTTTTTGTTTGGAAACGTTGCTGCCAGGTAGGATGTTTCCTGGAGCAACAGCAACGTTTTCTATTTGGTACCAATGCTCCAGGAAACATTTTCAGCATTGGTACCTGTTATCCAGTGCCACATCATTAGACCTGTTCATGGGTCGGGTGGCTCGACGGGCTGGCCCACCCCGGCCCGGCCCCTGGACGGGCTTGAACATGTTTATAGGCCCACGGGTTTAAATTCGAGCCAAGCTCGGGTTTTGTCAAAATAGCCCGGCCCGGCCCGACCTAAAATTAGACTTAAAATGGGTTATGTGATTATGTCCATTTGAATAAATTTTTTTATTTAAGAATGTAAAACTGTGTTTTAAAACGTAAAAGAAATGGAGAAAAACCATCTTGTAGGCCCATTGTTCATTTAAATAGGAAAAAAAACCATTTGAATTTTTAATTCTAATTTGAATAGGAAAAATTGTAATTTTTTTTATTAGGTCGGGCTTCGGGCTCGGGCTCGGGCTTGGGGCTTTTTATCAGGGCCGGGCTCGGGCCCAAGTTATAGGCCCGTTGGTCGGGCCGAGCTTGGGCTCGGGCCTAGCGTATTTTCATTAATGGTGAGTAAAAGCCCGGCCCGGCCCATGAACAGGTCTACACGTCATGTCCCTGTTGACAGCAACAAGCTGCAACTCAAGGAAACGTCAAATTCGGCATTGCTCCAGGCCACGCCTTCCCAATTTCCAAGATGTGGCTTAGAGCACCGTTTTTTATGAAAAAATGGCTCCAAACAAATAGACATTTTCTGGAACACCATTTTTTCCAACGTGGCACTGATGTATTGCCATTTTCTGGACTAACAGCATCTATGTCAAACAGACGCTATAACAGTTGCTAGTTCTAGAACCAACAATACATGGTTCCGAAACCAGGAAAATATAACACGGTCTTTATAGCTTTCTCAACCAAACAACATAGTTTGCTGATGTAAGCATGACATGGCAAATTACTCTGCAACTCTTCAGGAGTTGCCTTAAAAGAATACCACCACCACCGGGTCACCGGGAGCACCGTATAGTAATTTTCTATATATCCATATGTGTGTTATTATTGTTTTTTTTTTTTTTTTTTGGTAAAACATATATCCATATGTGTTAACTCACCCACTATTGTGTTGTTGTGTGACCTATTTGTTACTTTGCAATCTCAGTCCAGATATCAGAAGTCCAAGTTGATAGACCCAACCTAATCTAAAAAAAAGTGTTTATGTATCTATTTAGGGTCCATTTGGGAGGACTGAGTTGAAGATTCAGCTAAATTGGTTCAGCTGCTTTCAAATGTCTCAGACAAATCATTTAAAGAGGCGGAAGCAGATAGCCCATCAAATGACTGATTCACAGCCCGATTAGGGACCTCTGGATTTTTCATCACATACAAACAACCGATAGGCTATCTGTGTAAGACCTGCATTGGAAAGCCAAAAGCTGCTGCAATTCAGCACTCCCAAACGGATACTTAATTTATTTCTGTGGGGTGAAGAGGATATGAGAAGGGGTCAAGGAATTATTCACTTGCTTTGACTTGAACTCAGACCTAATGCATTGGGAATGCGTACTGCAAAGGTGGATTGCCGGGCCGAGTGAGTTCAACAGTTGAAGTTGAACCCCAAGGTCCAAACAATCCTACAGTCTAGCTCTGGCCCTGGATTTTGAGTGGCATCACATAAACTAGTTAAAATATTTTCAAATTTGGACTACCAAAGTGAACAACTGAATGTGAACCGTAGTGGGTGTACCCAACTCGGCCCAATGCATGCATCCATTTGTTAGTCCAGCTAAAGCCCAAGACATTATCTTCAACTCCCATCAGTTCCAATAAGCTTTTGGAGGCGTTCTAAATAGTTTTTATTGTTTTGCGGTCCTAAAACAAATCAAAAGCACTCTTGGTTTATATATGTTTATTCCTCTGAGCCCTTCAAGTCTCCATAGTAAGGCTTACGGTTCAAACAGTTGCCTATGCTGAAGGACTTAGAGGAATACTACTTTTTCAGTTTGATTTTCAGACGGATGTTCTCAGACACTGACACCACATTCATTTCTTTGAGACCAAATCAAAATCACTATGGTTTTGAGAATTATGTCATTATTTGATTGACTTAATCTGCAATTCTGAGTTCCACCCCCATCTCACAATGGCGAGAAAAGTAGAAAAAATATGTTTGGATGACCTCTGCATTCTCCTGGGTTTGTGCAAGCTATTATAAGATCATTTCCTAATACATTTGTGTACATATTTTTCATATCACATGCTGTGTAATCTGTATATCTCCATGAACTGTTTTTTGTAATCACTGATGTTTCCCTACCTTCTCCTACTTGTGAACTAGAAATGCATATCTGTGTCCAAATATGCTTCCTGGGTGGGTGACATGTACATTTGAATTGGAATAATCTTAATTATTCTCATGTAAATTACTAAATGTGAATTAAAAGGGACAATATTAGGCTCTCCCACTTTACAAGCTCAAATCCATTGTGCAGAGTAGAACTTTTGGAACCACTTTTTTTTCGTTTTTTTTCGATGGGTCGTTCCTTTTTCTAGATTTTGAGAGGGGTGGAAACTTAGTCAATGAGATTTTGGTTCCCATTGACCAAGATATCCATTTTATTTTTGTAGGTACATAATGGTTACTAAGACCATTAGAGTACAGAGGGTGTCAAACCAACACTATACGGATGTATGCGATGAATCCATAACCCATCGCACGTTTGCAATGAGTTCATAAGGCATCGCAAATCTGCATTGAACTCATACTCAAAACAGCTYGCGATGAACCTTAGACATGCATAAACTTGTGATAAAGCTTAGACACGTGTGAATCTGCGATGATCCATATGACACACGCGGATTTGCGATGAACTTTGGACGCGTGTAGAGTTGCAATAAACCCGAGATCATTACAGAACCACAGAATCACAAAGTACTAGGAATAAATGTCGGTTACATGTCCATCTTTAAATTACGCGTGTGATAAGACGCCACGTGGGTTTAATAAAAGCACGCCCGCCGAATGATGACATCATACGTGCCACGACAGTATAAAAGGGTCACATACAGAGAGAATTCGAAAGGAAAATGATTCTCTAATAATGCTCCCTTAATAGTCAAACAAAAGGAAATATCTCCTTTCCTAACAAAAGATCTTATTTCCTAATAGGAAAGAACTACTTTCTTTATAGCCTTGACTTTCTCTCTATAAAAGGGAGAGCAATTCTTCCTTAGGGGGGACAACACAATAATAATTTTGGCCTAGGGTTTCTCACAAGGAAGCAACTCCCTTCTCTCCTCTCTTCTCCCACTATCCTCAACAGCCGTCATCCTCTCTCTCTTCTCCCACTATGTACCTACACTTTTTTTTTTACATTTATGTGTGGTCATTGAAAAATTTATTTCCCTTTTAATAATGTATCACTTAGAAAGTTGCTAACACCTGGATGAGACAAAATTGTTCCTTTTAATAATGGATTTTTATGGCCAAAATGATCATTATCTTATTTAACTGGAAAATAAAAGAACATGAATAGATTTACTTACCCAGGTGAAAACACTTACCCAGGTTACTGCATTTACTTGGATAAGTAACTAACTTCCTGAAAAATGAATGAGTCCTAAAGAATTTTGTTGCAACATTTTTTTCCTTCGCAATGAGGTTTTGATTGCCAATGCATCTATCGTGATAAAAAGGAGAGAACCAGAGATGCTGGAAATAAATGCAAAGTGGACTTGGAAAAAACCTATGAGATGGGTGACTGAACCAGAAAGATCATGACATGGAAGAAGGAAACCTGTTGCCCACAGTTACGGGTGGTATCTCTTCATCCCTAAAAATATTTCATTAATCTGTCTTCTTCTTCATTCATCTTTCACTGGGTTTGATATGGGTGCAGGATGAGTGTGGTGAGGAGGAGCATCTCTAGATGAATTTTATCGAGTGTAACTGATGAGGCTGATTTTTTGAATTCTTCAAATACCATTTCTTGGGAATTTCAACTTCTGCAGCAAAATTTGCAACAATCTGATAAAAGTGCATTCCATATTGAACCAAACAGATCTCTTATTCAAGATCATTCTTTATGGTCATCTCTGTGTCTTATTAGCTTCAGGCTGTGTTTTGATAAAAAATGAGAGAAACAGAAAGTTGAGTTAAGAAATTTTTTTTTTTCCTCAACTTTCTGTTTGTCTCTTATTTTCTATCAAACCAAACATAACCTTCAAGTCTTCCAAGGATTAGGGGTTTAAGGTCATCTCTCTAAACATCCGGCTTCTTTTCTTCAGGAATAACCATCCAATTAATCACTTGTTTATGGTTACAATTAATTTAGATAAGTTTCTAGTTTGGATAAGGCTTAGATGACGATGATGATGTTTTCTGTGAGGATGCTAGTTGAATACTTTATTTGAAAAGTTTACACTGCATCAGGCCCAGGCTTTCTAGCCACATCCGTCATTGATACAAGAGAGTAGAATGCTCTCTAATTTGAGCAAACCCAAAAAACACGCACTCAAGACCTACCAAACCTCTAAGGCTGCAGACAATTGAATCAAATCGAATACACCTATATCCAAATTTGATTTGAATCTCATATTCAAGTCTTGTCCACTTGAAATTGATTATAATCAAAGCGGGTTTGAGCATTAGATCTCCAGGCAATGAAGAAAGCATGGTTTTTTAATTGACCTGGATGGTTGGACTGTTCGGCCCGGTAACTGTTTAGGCAATTAGTTTTGTTTTACCCTAATCCCGGTCCCTGTCCAAAAACTATTGAATCAGTCAATGATCTATTGATCCGGGCAGTCGATCCATTGATCCGTTCAACGGTTTTTGGCTGGTTTTTATTTTTAATTATTTTTATTTTTTTATTAGAATGGACCATCCATTTGAACCGGACAGTCGAACCATCAACCCAAAAACTGGTGGCCAAAACGATTCCGTTTTCGAATCATTTTTTAAAACCTTGAAAGAAAGTCATGTTTATTTGCAATTTTTTTCTTGTAATCCTTCATGTTTCAAAAGATTACTTGTTTGGGTGCTTAAAGTGCAAGAATACACTGATCTCTTATCAAAACTATCAAGACTTTACATGTATATCTATTGATTTTCCCAAACAAGAAAAAACATAGAGAAGACCAAAAATTGTAAAAATAATTAATTTTTCGTATATTCCATATGCCATCAATGGCAGGAAAAAACTGCAAATAGGCAGGCTCTCTACATTGTTCTAGTAGGTCTCTTGTGCACCTTTTCACTAACCCCACTTAACTCATTCCTCTAGAAAAAAAAAAATGGCAATTTAAGGCTCAGTCTGATAGGAGTATAAATAGAAATATGTAGAGTGTAACACCTTATATTTTGTATTATTTTGTATACGTTTGTATTGTATATATTTGTATTCATGTTCTTACCAAATTAAGTCTTGTGTTTGGAAACKATGCAAATGGAGTGTAAATCCTAGTTCAGGATAAATTTGCACTCTGGTTCACTTTTGCCTGTATTTGGCTGTTACGAGCCGCTGTAACTGAATGTGTGACTAGTCTCTGCAGGAGAGTAGATTGTCCGGAATAGGTTACCAGAGAGTCTACAAGAGAATGCTCTCGGTTCGTCTTCCCTATCTTGGCAAGAARATAAACAATATTTTCTGGGTTAGTTCGAGGCAACTCAGAAAAGCCTCACAAATTAAGATAAGTTAAATGTTGGATAATGATGATGTTCATTCAAAGAAAATAAGGGTATTTAACAAGTTACACCCCCACAACTGAAAACAGCTCCACAGATAAACACTAGCTCCTACTAACAAGAGATAATGGTGAGAAAGTCGCCTTAGGCATCTACAATTTGAAAGTTAACGTAAAAAAGATAACAATGGGCCTAACAGCTTTGACTGGTCTTCCCTTGGAGCCGTTAGAATGTTCGTGGGCCCATGCAAGGCTTGCATGTTATCCACGTTCATAGTAGGCTCGTAACAACTCTCCCCTCCTAAGGATTATTTCCCTTGTTCTCAAGGGAAAATTTAGGAAATTGCTGCTTCATGTGATCAACTGGTTCCCAAGTAGCCTCAGTCGGTGATAATCCATGCCAATGAATAAGAACTTCTTGATTGCCTCGCCTGACCCTTCGATAATCATTGTTTGAGGGTATGGATGATATTCCTCTTCCAGTGGTAGATTATGGGGTAATTTCGACTAGGGAGAACTATGGGACCCTAGATGCTTCTTGAGTAGGGACACATGAAATATATTATGGATTCTTGACCCTTAAGGCAGTAGTAATTTGTATGCGACTGGGCCCACTCGGCCTATGATTTGAAGAGGCCCATATAATTTTGATGCCAATTTCATATTCCTTCTTGTAGCCACTGATTTTTGTTTGTATGGTTGTAACTTCAAGTACATCCACTCTCCCACTTGAAATTGTATATCTCTATGTTTACTACCATAGACTTTCTTCATCCTGTCATGGGCCTTACGGAGGTGAGTTTTAAGCTCTAGCAACGTCTGATCACGTTGGAGCAGGGCCTCTTCAACTGAAGCATGTGCAATTGTTCCTGGTACATATGGGATCAGTGAGGGAGCTGGCTTACCATATACAACTTCAAATGGTGTGCGCCGAATAGATGAATGATAGCTTTTGTTGTAACAAAACTCAGCCCAAGCTGACCATTTAGCCCATGTGTTAGGTTGAGAGTCTACAAAACACCTTAAGTACATCTCCAAAGTTCTATTGGTTACCTCTGTTTGACCGTCTGACTGGGGATGGTACGCTGAAGTGAAGTTGAAGCTTGTTCCCTGCAATTCAAACAACTCCTTCCAGAATGAACTCATGAATGTGGGATTCCGATCACATACTATGGTTTTGGGCATACCATGAAGTTTGAAAATATGATCAAAATAAAGTTGTGCCACTTTATAGGCTGTGTAAGGATGGCCTAGTGAGACAAAGTGGGCATATTTGGATACGCGGTCCACTACAACCAGGATAGTACTTTTCCCATTGGACCTGGGTAGACCCTCTACAAAGTCCATAGGGACATCGACCCATATATGCTTCGGAATTGGTAGGGGTTGGAGAAGCCCCGCTGGTCTGACTTACTCTTGCTTATTACATTGATAGATAGTACATTCTCTGATGATGAACTTTTTCACGTGGGCCTTCATTACTTTCCAGAAGAAAGTTGTTTTGAGTCTATTAATGGTTTTGAGGTACCCTTCATGAGTAGCATTGTGGAATTGGCCCACTATGAGTGTAATCAGCTCAGAGTCTTCAGCCAAGTAAATTCGGTCTTTGAAATATAATACTCCTCCTCTGTAAGCCTGTGGCCGAACAGCTTCTCTTGCTCACATAGCCGTATGTATTAGGCATTATGTTTGAGCATGCTCAAGCTGGTCAGATTTGACAGCTTAAATCCAATGGGGAATGGGCTGTGTTAGTGCCATTAGAGCAGGCCCATTTAGATTTTTTTGACTGTCGCTTTCATATCTTCTGGATAATGCATCTGCCACCTTGTTCTCAGCTCCTTTTTTATATTCAATACAAAAATCAAACCCCGTAAGCTTATATAACCAACGTTGCTGGGCAGGTGTGGTTATATGTTGGTTCCACAGGTATTTGATACTCTTCTGATCTGTACGGACAGTGAAGCGGTGCCCTAACAAATAATGTCGCCACTTTTGTACAGCTAGTACTAGGGCCAATACCTCCTTTTCATAAGTAGAGAGCAAGAGGTTCTTTTCTTGGAGAGCTTGACTAATCTAAGAGATTGGTCGTCCATGTTGCATCAGAACCGCTCCTATGCCTACTCCTGAGGCGTCACATTCCACCACAAAGGGTTGAGAAAAATCTGGGAGGGCCAATATCGGAGAGTGTGTCATTGCTTCTTTGAGTTTGACAAAATGCATCCTCAGCTGCTATAGTCCATGTAAAGGAGTTCTTTTTAAGCATCTGAGTCAATGGTCTTGCAATTTTCCCATAGCCTTCCACAAACTTACGGTAGTATCCTGTAAGTCTTAGAAGTCCACGAAGGGCTTTTGCAGATTTGAGCTTGGGCCAGTTTAACATAGCATTCACCTTTTCGGGGTCAACCTCCACTCCTTTAGCGCTAATAATGTGCCCCAAATACTTCACCTGCATCTGTCCAAACAAATACTTTTCTTTTTTGACAGATAGCTAGTGAGCTCTTAATATAGAGAATACATGCTTCAGAAGTCTCATATGTTTGCCCCAATCAGAGCTATAAACCAAAATATCATCAAAAAATACAACAAATTTTCGTAAACAATTCTAGAATATTTCATTCATAAGGGACTGAAATGTGGAGGGTGCGTTAGTCAGCCCAAAAGGCATAACTAAAAATTCATAATGCCCCTGATGTGTTCTGAAGGCARTCTTAGCCATATCAGTGGGGTGCATTCTAATTTGATGATATCCAGAGCGAAGGTCTAGCTTAGAAAAATAACATGCACCATGTAACTCATCTAGTAATTCATCAACAGTAGGAATAGGGAACTTATCTTTAATGGTGATCTGACCGAGTGCCCGGTAATCTACACACATCCTCCAAGACCCATCATGCTTCTTGACGAGAAGTAGTACAAGAGATGAATATGGGTTGTTGTTAGGCCGAACCATGCCTGTAGCTAGCAGTTCAGCTACTATTTTTTCAATTTCAAATCTTATACAGTGGGGGTAGTGGTAGGGTCTCACGCGGATTGGCCCCATGCTAGAAAGAAGGCTGATTTTGTGATTGTGGGCTCTAAGTGGGAGCAAGCTTCTAGGCTCTTCAAATAAGTCTTAAAGGTAGCTAGTAGCTCTTGCATCTGAGGAGAGTCGGGCTCAGCTGAAAGGCCTAATGGGCCTTCTAAGGAATGCAGCAAGATGCCTTAATGATTTTTCTTGATAACCCGATTATGTGTGGAATTTCTAACTAGGGGTGGTATCCCTTGTAATAATACTTCACGTCCATTAACCCAGAATTTCATGCAAAAGTGAAAGAAATCCCACATGATGATACCAAGAATAGAGAGCCATTGGGTCCCTAAAATCACCTCATATCCATCGATGGGTAACAAATAAAAGTCAATCTGTAAGGGAACATCTTGTAACATCAAAGAAACAGCAAAACATTTACCCGGGCTGACCAAGGTTTGGCCATTTACTACTGCAACCTTGAACTGACCATCCTTAGTGGGTTTTAGGCCCACTCGTTGTGCTAACTTGGTGCTGAGAAAATTATGGGTGCTCCCCGAGTCCACCAACGCAGTTACTTCTTCACCTCCCACCTTCCCTTTTACCTTCATGATGCGCCCTGGTGTGTGGCCCGTAATAGCATGGAGCGAGACTTCTAGTTCATCATGGGTAGATTCTCTCTCCCCTTCAATTTCCATCTCAATATCACCATCTCCTTGCCAGCAACTCTCTATCACAAAAAACTTCTTGCATCTGTGACCGGGACTGAATTTCTCATTGCAGTTGAAACAAAGTCCCTTGTCATGCCGCTCCTTTAACTCAGTAGGGGTCAATCTTCGAACAGGGAGAGTAGAGGGGGTTGATGCTGAACTTTTGAAGGAATGAGATGACTTGGACTCTGGAATCATGGACCACCTCCATGAGTTATTTCTAGCTTCATAGAGACGAGCCAAACCAATTGCTTCTAACAGGGTAGTGGGCCTAGCTGCAAGAACATCAAATCTAATAGAGTCTTTCAATCCACTAATGAAACAACTTACTTGTTGCTCCGGTGTCACTCTCCCCACACCAGTGAGAAGCCTTTCAAATTGTGCCTGGTAATCTCGTACTGAAACCATTTGTCGCAGCTTGGTGAGGTCTCCGAAGAAATTTGGTTGGACCATATCGTAGATGGAGTTGTTCCATGAACTGGGGCCATCCCATATCAGCATGATCTTGTTGTAGTAACTGAAACCACAACCGGGCATCACCTTCAAGATGGACTGATGCAGTAAGTACCTTCTCCACTTCGGGTACCCTTTGCCATAAGAAGATTTGTTCAGCCCTACAAAGCCAACTAGTTGGGTCTTAACTACCATTGAACCTTGGGAATTCAAGCTTCAAGTTTCAAGCAAGAGGGGCGGGGATAACCCCCACTCCATTATTCCTATCAGTAACAGATCGGCATGGAGAATTGGAAGCCTCACCAACTTCTAGCGCCTTTGAGTTCTCAAGCTTGTCAAATCTTGTGGCGATTGAAGSAAACATTCCCCGTACCTCCTCCATCATCCGTTCTTAGGTAGCCATCAGGGACCCCATCTCACCTTCAATCTGTGAGAGGCGTCGCTCATGATTAGGATCCATCGTCGGCTCTGATACCACCTTGTTACGAGCCGTTGTAACTGAACATGTGATTGGTCTTTGCAGGAGAGAAGACTGTCCGGAATAGGTTACTGGAGAGTCTACAAGAGGATGCTCTTGGTTCATTTTCCCTATCTTGACAAAAAGATAACCAATATTTTCTAGGTTAGTTCGAGGCAACTCAGAAAAGCCTCCCAAATTAAGATAAGTTAAATGCTGGATAATGATGATGTTCATTCAAAGAAAATAAGGGTATTTAACGAGTTACACCCCCACAACTGAAAACAACTCCACAGATAAAAACTAGCTCCTACTAACAAGAGATAATGGCGAGAAAGTCACCTTAGGCATCTACAATTTGAAAGTTAACGTAAAAAAGATAACAATGGGTCTAATAGCTTTGACTGGCCTTCCCTTGGAGCCGTTAGAATGTTCGTGGGCCCATGCAAGGCTTGCATGTTATCCACGTTCATAATAGGCTCGTAACATTGGCAACATTACATGTATGCATTGACAAATGACAAACCAATGCATATTTACATTGATAATAAGCACCAATAAAAAAAGAAGTAAATTTGCATTCAAGTAGGCTTTTGATTAAAAAAAAGAACATATGTTTTATTAAACTTCATGTTTGCTTCCATTACAGCTAAAAGCCTATTTGGTAAGAAGGTAAATTTATCACTGCAAAACTAATCCAATTTTACAATTTATATGAACTGTTTTACACTCTACATATTTGTATTCACACTTATTTGCGTTGTTTCCAAACACAACCTTAGGGAAAAAAATCTAAAGCTGTTTGAAAGATTTATAAAAGCATTTTTGCATCCAATCTTTCTTTTGGTGAAAAGGACAAATAAGTGACTGAACAGAGTAATGTGTGATGGGGATTGGGGAGGAAGCTCCCAGCCCCAGATATCCAAGATTGTTTTTCCCAAACAGCTAAAAAGTTTCCTCCCGGCCTCCGGTCCCTGTGGGGTCTCTCAAGCCGTTCAAGAATATCAAATATACAGCCCAATACATGTAATAATTTGTGAGAAGTTATTACATTAGTATTATCATCGGGACCAACCACAAATGGGACCTTATAAAATACACATTCTTTTGTCCTATAATGCGACTCTAACCCCACAGGCTAGCCCGTTTACAATAACAAGAGACTAAATCAGCGTCATACAAGATTGACCCTACAATTATGGTTTTCAAAATCAGATCGGACCGGATGGTTAGATAAAAAAATCAGGAATCAGTTATCTCCCAAAACTGTTAATTTTGATCTGTTGAACCGACTCGTTAATTGTTCAAATGGTTTTGACCGTTTTTCAATTTTTTTATTTTTTGTCAGAACAGGCCAGTCGTTTGAGTCGAACGGTTAAACCGTTCAAACCAGTAATCAGACAACGTTCCACAGCACATCCATGCCACATATTAGGAACATCTTCCCATAATGATATCATCACGGTAAATTACAAAGACCCCCCTGTACTATGGGGTTTGTGACAAAAACCCCTTGTACTTTTTTTTTGCGACAAAAGCCCCCTTATACTATGATCGTAAGATAAAGAACCCTTTCCGTTAGCCTTCTGTCTAAAAACTCCGTTACAATATTTTTTTATCCCCATATTACTATTATAGATACTGTTCATCTTCCCTCACCTTCCTTTGTTTCTCTTTCTCCCTCTCTGCTTTCTCTCTCTCCCTATCTCTCTTTTCATCCTTCTCTGCCAATCGGTCGGGGTATCAAGCCGTCGAGCTGCAACAAACATCATAATATAACGATCAGTATCGATTAGATATGTAATCTCTTGTAGAGAGTCAAAGAGAACCTTCCCCTCCCCCTTTCAGTTGGGAAGGGAACCATCTACAGTGATTTGAATCACCTTACCATAAAAGAAGGCAGCAAGACTCCCTTTAGACATGAAATCAAAGACGAGAAGCTTTTCTCCTTTAGGTCCCAAATAATATATATGCCCTCAGTGCCAAGAGATTGGGGTGACAAATCTTGCCCAGGGTGTTAACCTCGACCTCGAACTCCCTCTRAGTCTTCTTGGCAATCTTCTCCCTCAACCTCTTTACCGCTACTTGAACGGTGCAAGGAAGTACAGCCCTCGGATTGAAGGTGAATAAAAGTGACACCGTTACAGAGTCTGTGTCTTGTCAATCTTCTACTCCTTAATTCTTATATATTTACAGAGGAAAAAACAAAAAGAAGAAAAATTCCTTCAACGTGTCTTATAATAATGTCTGGGAAATTTCAGATAACCATCTTAAAAAAGGGGATGGGATGAGGGAGGGGGGAAATACGGAGCTTGCGTTGCACCGACTCTCCACTTTATTCTTCCATTCCATGGCCCCCACCTCAACAGTCTCTGTTTTCATTTTTCCTTAGACTACTCTTCTTCCACTATTTCTAACCCTTCATCTCTTCTTTCTCTCTGAGCATTGTTCCGTTGTTCCGACAACAACTTGTTGATGGCCCTTTCAGAGCTCCAGCTCCCTGCGTAGCAATGGCCACTATTTGTTCGTTCCTTCTTTAGCAAATTCGTCGCTCTGGATCTCCTTTTTGTCCATTTGGGTTGCTTCATTTTCACCACCGTAGACGGTCCCTCATCGAAAAAGCGAAAGGGGGGAGATTTTCATCACCAGTCGATACTGATCGTTATATTATGATCTCGAGGGCCTGATACCTCCACAAGGATGAAAAGCGATATCAAGGGAGGGAGAGAGAGAGAGCAGAAAGAAGGAGAGAGAAAGAAATGTGAAAGAAGGTCGGAAAGATGAACAGTATTTATAAGGATAAAATAAGGATTAAAAAATATTGTAAGGGTCTTTTTGAATAGAAGGAGATCCTTGTCTTACGATCATAGTTGAGGGGTATCTTTGTCACAAAACAAAGTATAGGGGGTCTTTGTCAAGTACAAGAGATTATCCTTTCTAGTATTATCATTAGGAGGGGGGTGATTTGAACTCTATTAATAACATGGTGACGCTGTCTTCCTCTTTTTGGACCCGTTAATCATACAAACGTATATAACGGGTTCTATAATGAATTATAAATACACATAACACATCAGTGTTTCGTACATATAAAGGTCCCTTACAGGCCACGACACTTCCAACAGAAGCCAATTGACAACCCAACACTGTCATTGGCCAAAGTACACATTGAATCTAGTTGGTGCCGGGCTCGTCTCAGCCTGGATATTAGATAAGTTAGATGTTTCTACTGTATGGACCTGTACCACCAACAAGAGCTCGAAACGGGAGAAAGCCCAAGGTTTTGATCCGGAGAGTGGTTGAGGAACAGGGACCAACTCGACTATCATACTTTGTTGGGGCAGAGCCGATCCAACTCGATTGAACTCGAACTCTTATGGAGCAAACAACATTTCAATGCCATTTCTGACTTTTGATTTCTGACAAGGAAAATCAAGTCATGTCTAGCTTTTTATTGCCAGAATCAACCAAAAACATTTACTAATATGTTGCACCAATTCCATAAATACACCAGTTTGGTACTATCGACACTCTGCACGATCTGAACCGTTGGATATTTTTCTCTCTCCCTTTGTTGGATCAGATCAAAAGAACGGAGTTGGACTTTCGTTTTCTCTTTCCCTCTCTCAGGAATCAAGCTCTCGCCGATCTTCGCCCCGTACATAACTACATTTGGGTAGTATAGATGTCCATAAGGAGGCGATCATGACATCACATCACATCACATATTCACATCCCCATCCACATACCATCCTGAATCCTCCACCCATTCCGTTTCCATTCCATCCATGCATTTATTCGCTGTGGGGATTACTGACGAGGGTGCGCAATGTGCATACACGAGACGAGACAGTGATCGCACGTGAGTGACTGGTCCCACGGAARGTGATGGTTGGGCAGTGCAACTGTGCAACTGCTCACAGACGAAAACGAGATGAGATGAGAGATCAAAGAGAATAGTCGGACGGCCGAAAGTAAAGAAAAAGAAATAAAGAAGGCGCTCTCTTACTTATACTTTACACGTGCAGATTCAACGTGGCTTACCATCGCATGATCTCATCTACAGATCTACTACAAAAACTGACCGCATCTGCTATTGTACGCTTGTAGTATATTATTAAAAGATTAGAGAGAGGAGGAGGAGAGTGTTTGTTCCGACTCCCGAGGCCACTCACCACGTCAACTTCAATGGGGCGTGACCGCCAACCAATCAGGATTCCCACATACTCCGTTGTCGGCAATTTTCCGACGAGTAATTTTCTCGCTATGTCCTTGGGTGGAAATTTCTTGTCAAAATATTTTCCCTTTCTTTTTAATTTTTTTAGTTTATAAAAGACTCACTGTACGTACCCTCCCTGCAACTGCAACACACACAATGGAGTCCGGACCCAGCAGGTCCGTGGTCCCTGCAACCGGGCTCATACACGTGCATATCCCCTGATCCACAATCTGTACAATCACACTACCATTCAACGGTTGCTATTATTCTATCAGACTGCGTTGGCTCTTGTGGGACCCAACACTTATTTTTTTACATTTACTGGGCGGCATCTAAACCATTGGATGATCTTTGAGATTTGCGAGTGAAAAGACCGAGGAGGAGGATGACGACGACGACGACGACCTCTGATGTAGAACAGAAGGCGTACCTACCGTCGTCGGAAGGCCGCTAGCTCGCACACAGCTCATAATTTGCCTCAGATAAAAATAACTTGAGTATGCTTGTGCTGTTCAGCAGTTCAGGGTTCCAGCTGTAGAGTATCCTCTTCATTAACCCTCGGACTTCAAACCGACCAAAGGTGAAGGCGCTGCTGGTTTGGTTTGGCTCGGTTTGGGTAGACCGAACACCAACCCAGCGGTGGATAGTTTCTGTGGGACCTTCAACACAATCTATAAGCAAATATAAACAAAGTGGGGTTAGCGTGATGGTTGGGCAATTGGACTGGATTCATGTCTGCAACCCCACCATAGCTTATCTCTCTCTCTCTTGTTGATTCTATCCTGTCGTACCAAAATCAGTCAGAGGATCCTTGTCATATTTGCGGCAGCCGGCAGGAGATCGTTTGGGCCGCTTCGTTTTTCCGTTCTTCGTTTGGACTCACAAAAATGAAAGTAGCTTTCTTTTACCCTGTGGATAGATGCAAAAACCAACAATTCAGCCTGCGTCTTAAGGCCCCCGATCACTTTATCTAGAGGTTAGTCCGGCCCACCTAACCTAAGGGTCTGACCGCACAACAGCCAGCTAGCCATGTGATCTCTGCATTACATTCGGAGCTTTCTAAAAGTTGTAATTGAACTTGTTTTCCACCCTCTAAATGAATGCGGCAAAAATACACTACTCCTTTTCATCATTTCGACTTGATTTTTCTTTCCTCTCCATATTAGGACCCATTTATCAGTGTCTCTGGGCAACCGGATTGTATCTGAAACCGACCCGAGAAGAACTTCCCGCCATGCCACACGCCCACGCCATCCCCTGAGCTCACACACGAGTGCATCGTATCTGGCTTGCGTCTTCGCGTCGTGTAAAAATTGAGAAGGGTAAGTAAGGAGACATCAGCAGAGAGAGAGAGAGAAAGAGGGCGGAGGTGGGGGAGTAAGTAAGACGTTACAGTCAAAGGGTAAACACAAAAAGGAGCGGAGCATGGGCTTTGACCGTGTGGTCTTGGAGGTGGGACCCAAATGCGCCGGTAAAGCGAATGGCCGAAACCTTACGGCTGGTGGGCGCCGCATGTCAGAAACTCACCTCCTCGATTCCTTCTGCCACTTTATGCCGCCACGTTTGGTTCTTTCTCTCACCAACTGTGGGCCCCGCTTTCACCCGGATCTGCTATCACAATGCACGCCTCACATGTCCTGGCCGCACATCGGAATCTTCCGTCCCTGAATTTATTTTTATGGGAGATGTTCCCATTAATATTGGGATGTGGCTGTGCGGTCGATGTGAGGCGCGCTTTGTAAGGAGCAGATCCCAATTCCCCCCTAATCTTTCTGCTGCCCCACCTTTTCTATTTTTCCGTCCGCGTACGGCGCTTTTGCCGCTCGGCTTTTCTTTTTAGAC